TAGTGGTGACGGCCCCGGCACTGGAGCCGCAGGTGAGTGTGACCGTCCCCCCAGGAGTTGTGGACAGTGAGGCTTCCTGAGTCACCGAAGCCTGGGAAGTGGCCCCTGAAAACAGATGAGAGACCAAAAGTGAGGAAGGAGGACAGGGGTCATGAAGGTGCAGTGTGGCCTCTCTCACTCCTCCCCGCCCTCCAGCCCAGAGAGCCTCCCCGACCTATGCAGTGAGCCAGCAGTGTGAGCAGGAGAGAAGCCCAGGCCATGGTGTAGGCGCCCCAGTGCTGTGCTTCTCAAGACCCCTCAGCACAGAGTCAGCCTGCAGCCCTCTCATTATAGCTCCTGCCACCTGTGGGGGCGGGGCTGCCATGCAAATGAGCTCCCCTCCCAGGGGACCTCAGCAGCCTGGTCATGTTACAGCTCCTGAGCTGTTCCGCATCAGTGACCATGTGTTAACTAGACCCAGCCACATAGGACCGTTTCACAGCCCAGCTTGCTCTCCCAGGCACTGGCCCACAGCCCCCTCTAGTTACCATAGTGAGAATATCACCAATGGACAGATTCACCGTTGCACGGCTTTTCCTGTTTGCAACCCCTCGTCCCTCTGGTCTGGAGTATTTAGTGCTCTCAGTAGGTCAGATTAAGTACCTATAACTCCATACGCAGATGGAGGAATTTGGGGAAGGGGAGGCCTGGATAAACTACTGCCTCTATTTTTACTCCAATTCATACATATTGGACATCTACGTTGAGCAGAGGAGCTAATGTCTTGGATTTTCCTGCTGTCTTAGCTCAGGTTCCTCAGGAATGCACCCAGTAATGTGGATGCCTTGCTGCATAGGTAGTTGACTGTCCCATGGTCAAGTGCTTGGTCTCTACCAGGGCTTAGTAGCATTTCAGAATTTCTTTTTTTTCCCTTTTTTTTTGTTAATGGTGTTTAGTTACTACTGCTCCAGAAAACTTGAGGACTACATTGCGATTTTCTCTCAGAGCTTGCCAAATACTGTGTGTGTGTGTCAGTTGGGTCATTGGACTCAAATGGCAAGGCTGCATGCATCATAGCTTCAGAGCACTTGTCTGCTCTGGGCCGACTTAAATCTAGGAGCCTTCTGGTGTAGCAGTATTTCCAGCAGTGGAATATGGGCTTCCAGGAGCTGCAGAGGCCAACTAAGTGTGTACTTCTCTATTAAGGGTGAGAAGTGTGTGATGCAATAATTTGTCTTGTCATGTCATAGACTAACAGCTCCCTAGGAACCTCAGTGACAGAATGGGTCTCTAAAAATCTCACAGGGTTTGCTTCCTATGTGACAAATTCCTAGTAAGCGAAATGTAATCTAAACTGTAGTGTAGAACTCTGGAAGGCTTCCTTTAAAAGACAGGATAGCTCTGCTTTTGGTCTACCTGGGTATATCCCCAAAGGAAATGAAATTAGTCCTTTGAAGAGATAGCTGCACTCCCATGTTCACTGGAGTATTATTCACAATAAGCAAGATATGGAAACAACCTATGTGTTATGTTACCATTACAGTATGTTACCACTACATTATGTTACCATTAACAGATGACTGGGTAAGGAAAATGTGGTATACACATACAATGACCTATTAGTCAGTCTTTAAAAAGGAGATACTGCTGTTTGCAACAACATGGATGATTTTTTAAATTATGGTAAACTGTACATGAATTTAATATATTATTTTAATATTACAGTGTCCAGTCCAGTGGAATTTATTACATTCCCCGTATTGTGAAATCATCACCACTATCTGGGTCCAAAATATTTTCATCACGGAAAAGGAAACCTTACACCCTTTAGGCAGGCATATCCCATTCACCCTTTCTCTCAGCCCCTCTTAACCACTAATCTGTTTTTGTCTCTATAAATTGGCCTAATACAGATCTTTAATATAAATGGAATCATACAGTATGTTACCTTTTGTATCTGGCATCTTTCACTTAGCATAATGTTTTCAAGATTGGTCCATGTATCTGTATTTCTTTCTTTTTTTATTGTGTTTGAATAGCATTTGATCATATGGATATGCTACATTTTGTTTATCCATTCATCATTTGATGGAAATTTGGGTTATGTCAAAATAATATAAACAGAGCCACTTTAAAATGGAGTCAGAGCTGCCATGCCAGAGGAACTGCCTTACATGTCTTATGCCTCATATCTTTTAATGTTAAAACCAGGCAAAATAACCTTTGGACTGGGCCTAAGGCAACATTGTGTCTCAAAGAACTGTTTGCAAATATAACAAGAAAGCAGTTCTTTTGACTACTGGACTGATGACTGCAGGACTGAAAATTAAAAACATTGTTTAGAATCAATATGACTATGTTATCTACACCAACAGAAATGTCTTCTTTCTATTGATGTAATTGTTTCCCTTCCCTTTCGTATAAATACCCATTGCCTTTGTCTCCTAATTGAAACACTATTTGAGCTTCTGCCTGAATTAGTGTTTCTGGATAGCTATTCTTATTGATGTCAAATAAATGCTTATTGCCTCTCAGTTTGAAAGAACTTTTTATTTTTAGGTTAACAGTTGATTTCATCTTTTGGCTATTGTAAATAGTGCTTTTACAAATATCTGTGTACAATTTATTTTCAAATACCTGTGTTAGCAAACAGCCCCCTGAGTCGGAGGGGGAGGGCTGTCCCCTCCTCAGCTCTTGTCAATCTCATAAGAAAGATTTCAGACAAGTGACATACCTCAGTGTTGAAGCAAAGCAAGTAAATGTATTAAAAATGCACTTGGTGTACAGCACAAGCGGGTGACCGAGCTAGTCTGAGTGTACAGCCTGGTGGGGTTCAAGGGTTTTATACCCTTCTACCTATAGGTTTCAAAGTTTCCAGTGCCAGATAGCTTGGGTAGCCAATTAGGTTTCAAAGAGGCCTGTTACATTGTTACGGCTTATCTCAGAATGTTTGTACATACATTTGGTCATCTTGTTTGGCAAATCCTAAGGCTGCTGACTTTTTTGTTTAGTGGGTAAGATAAAACTCCCCCTTTTCTTTCCCCCTTCCTCTCCTCCTGCCTTAGCACCCCAGAAGTGATATTTGTCCTTGGGTTTAGCTGGGGTCTCTGCTCCCTATTTTCCCAGGCCAGGGTGATATAATCTATGTACTCTGGTTAGGGAGGAGAGGTAGTAACCATTTGCTCTCAGGTGTCATTGATTGGGGAAGATAAGGCCTTGCGATTCACAAGCTGGCTGCAAGCTGCCCAGTTTGTCTTTTTAAAATTTCCTTTTCTCAGTTTCCCCTTCCACTTGCCAAGGAATTTTCCTAGCTTCTTACTCTCCTGCCACACTTGTTTCCAGTTCTTTTGATTATATATTTAGGAGTGTAATTCTCGGGTCTTTTAGTACCTCTGTGTTTAACGTTTTGAGGAACTGCTAAACTGTTTTCCACAGCAACTGTACCACTTTATTTTTATTATTATTTTAAAAAATATGTTTTTATTGACTTCAAAGAGAGGAAGGGAGAGGTAGAGAGAGATAGAAAGATCAATGATGAGAGTCATTGATCGGCTGCCTCCTGCACGCCCCCTACTGGGTATCGATCCCACAACCTGGGCATGTGCCCTGACCAGGAATCGAACTGGAACCAGGTCCTGGTACATATGTTGATGCTTAGCCACTGAGGCCATGTCGGCAAGGCAGCTGTACCACTTTAAATTCTTGCCAGCAATGTAGGTAGGTTTCAGTTTTTCACTTCCTTGTCAATACTTTTACTTTCCTTTTTTTAAAAAAAAGAAATAATTGTAGCCATTCTTGTATGAAGTGGCATTTTATTTTGATTTTGATATGCATTTTCCTCATGAATAAAGATGGTGATCATCTTTTCATGTGTTTGTTGTCCATCTGTATAATTTGTTTGGAGAAATGTCTTAAGGCCTTTGACCATCTTTGACTGGGTTGCTTGTCCTTTTGTTTTTGAGTTGTAAGAGTTTTTATGTATTCTGGATACTAGACCCATATTAGATTTATGGTTTGTAAATATTTTCTCCCATTTTGTGACTGTCTTATCACTATCTTTATGATGTCCTTTGATGTGCATACTTTTTAAAAATTTTGATGAAGTCCAATTTAATCTTTTTTTTTTTCTTTTTGTTGTTCCTTGTGATTTTAATGTCATATTTAAGAAATCATTGTCAAAGTCAAGGTAAATATAGACATATCTGTACATTTTCTTCTAAGGAATATATATATATACATACACACACACATATATAGATATAAATAATTTTAATCCTCATCTGAGGATTTTATTAATAACAAGATTAATTACATAACATCCCTTCTTTATTTGACTAGTAAACCTTTGGAATTACCTAAATGCTATAATATTGCATCAGTTCAGAGGTCGAAATAATATTAAGCAGCCATTCAAATATTTGTGTACTTTTAATAAGTGGGAAATTACTTATATTAATTGAATACAGTAAAAACAGTATATAAAATGCAGGAATATTAGCACAAGGTTTGATCACAATTGTGGGTATATTGAGAATAAAAATGAAAGAATGCATTCAAATTCAAAAATATATTGATTGATTATGGTTATTATGGTTTGGCATAAAGAACCTTTTTTAAGAAGTTGGTAATTTTTAACGCTTTAAAAAATTTTATACAATACACATGTGTTGCATTAAATGCAGCCCAATAAAATAAATTTTAGTAATATACAAACAAAGCCTGAAAAGTACATCATGCAGGATGTTCCTTTCTGGAGGACATGTGTTTGACCACAGCCCTTAGATCTGATCCAGCTGTTACTATTGCTTCTGGATTATGAAATATTGGATTTTGCTTTTCCTGAGCCAGTTCCTCCCAAATCATTCATGTATTTCCTCCACTTTAGGCATCAGGCATGTTATAGGAATTAATTTCTACCCATCACTTTACCTTTCAATGAAGGTCCACATTTAGACTAGTTGAGAGCTCATGTGTCTGATCATGTGATCCCCTTATCACAAGAGCCAGTGAAGGTTTATGTCCCGGTTCCCCAGCTGGGTGTCTCACTGTGCCGAGCACCACTGTACACCAGCCAGCAGTGGTACAGAGCCTCGTCCTCAGGCTGGGCCCCCGAGAGGGTCAGGGCAGCTTTGCCCCCTTGGATGGAGCCTGAGAACCGGGCGGGGGTCCAGGAGTGTTTATTGTTTGTATTATAAATCAACGTCTTGGGGGCTTGGCCAGACTTCTGCTGGAACCAGTATGGATAGTGACCATCAGTGACTGCTCCAGTGCTGGAGCCACAGGTGAGAGTGACTGTCCTTCCTGGGGACACGGTCATTGAGGGCTCCTGAGTCACCACAGCCTGAGAATTGGACCCTAAAACCAAAAACAGACACGTGTCAGGGATAAGGAACGAAAGGGGGATCCCAACAAAGGCTGGTATCGGACACCATCTGTATTCACCTGGGCAGAGAGTGAGGAGGAGGAGGAGGAGAGGGGTCCAGGCCATGGTGCAGACGTTGGAAGACTCCCAGCCTCTGTGCTGGGGCTGGGCTCACTGCTGACTTTTTATCTTCTACTGAGCTTGCTGTAGGAAGGGGTGTGTTTGAGGGTCGCATTATGCAAACCTGAGCCTGTTGCCACTCTCTGCCACTACCCAGGTCCTCAGCCCTGAGAGCAGCTGCACTGTGAGGGGTAAGCCAGGGGGGTGCATGGTGTGTATCTACCCTGCGGGAGGCAACAGCTGCTCTACGATTTTGTACAGGCCAGTGAGCAACTGTTCAGGCTCCATTAAATCGGAACCACTGTTCCCTCAAGTCCTCTGAGAAGGTCCATAGCCCCACCTGGTGGCCTTCTTGGGCTGAGGGTGCGTGGTCTCTCAGTTTTTTGACATAACTATTGGTTTATCCTTTTAACACTGCAACTGTTATTTCCCAGGCCCCTGCACATTCATTGCTTGTGTCTTCTTTGCTCATTCCTCTACGTACTTCTTTCTTTAGTTGTCGAAATCCCACCCCAGTGTCAGTTTTAGTGTTACATGGCCTTAATTTCTTACCTGAGTGTTTTGAATGACAAGGAATTATTTTATGACTAACCGACTCTATTAGAATGATTTATTTTGACCTTACATTGAATAAGCAGCTGGTTTAAGTCAGAATTCTTTTAATAATGTACTTTAGAGAATTTAAAAAAAGAAAATGACCAAAAACTGGGTGTTATATGTTTTACAGCCAATTTGGTGGGGACTAAAGTCAGCTGTGTGAGTAGTCGACCACATCTATATGACCAAGCCCTGCACCCCCCAAAAACAAAGCAAAACAAAACAAACAAACAAATAAGTCCTCTTGACATGGACCTTGGGTGAACTTTCCCGATTGGCAGTACTCCGTGCCTCCCCATTTTAATACCTTTGTAACAAATCTAAGCTACAGACTCTACTGTTTCTTAAAAGCATTATTCTATATAAAATACAGGTATGCCTTTCTTTCTCCAAAGCTGAATAAGGTAGAGAAACGTCATCCTCTGGCCATGGCTCATTGAGCACATGTCCTCCCCTCTAAAGTCACTGACACAAACAGTCACTTGCTGAAGGGGACACCTATCTTGAAGCCAGAAAGTCCTTCCTTATTACGGTCTCCTTTGATGCACCATAGCAGAGGCTTCAGTTTGTCCCCAGTGGAGGTGCTTCCTGTGCCCCCTGCAGTGCCTTGGTCTTTCTCTCCACAACTGAGCTGTCCTTGTAATTATTAATTAGTCAAACTCTATTAATTATGTATTTCTGTGTAACAGCCCCAACATTTAGTTTTTGTTTTTTTAGGATATCTTTACTGATTTCAGAGAGAGGAAGGGAGAGGCAGAAAGAGAGTTGAAACATCAATGATGAGAGTTGTCATTGCCCTTGACTGGGGATGGAGCCTTTAACCCGGGTATGTGCCCTGACCAGGAATCAGCCACTATCTCCTGGATCTTAGATCATGCTCAACTGCTGAGCCATGCCGGGTGGCCAACATTTAGTTCTTAAAAGAGCAAACTTTTATTATCTCACAGTTTCTGTGAGTCAGTAATCAAGTGATTACTTAGCTGGGTGCCTCTGGATCAGTGTTTCTCATTTAGTTGCAGATTAACTGTCAGCAGGAGCTACACACATCTGAAGGCTTGGCTGGGGTGGTATAACCCACTTTCAAGCTCATCTCAGTGCTCTTGGCAAACTGTGGTTCCTCACCATTGAGAGTCTTTCCAGGATTGCCTAAGGAAAAGTGTATAGCCTCTGTTCCCCCAATAGCAAGTGACCTGAGACAAAACAAGAGAGAGCAACTGAGACAGGCCACAGCCTTTTTATGACCTAATCTCACAAGTAACATTCCATCACTTTTGCTGTGTACTCTTTGTTAGAATCAGAATTGGTACATATATATTTGATGACCTCTGCATATTAGTCCTTATGTTGTTACTTCTTTAGAAGAGGCTGGGATTATGGTGTTAAATTCAATTTTTTACACATCCAATTGAGGTAAATGGAGCCAAACCAAAATTATTCTTAGCCATTTAGCATTCCATTGCTTTGCATACCCTGTAAAATTGTGCTCAACACTCACCACTGACAAGACAAGCCCTGGGGCCATAACAGACCTTAAACTGCTGCTGCCCTTTGGAGCTCTGTGACCCAGAGACTCCCCATTTTGCTGCTGAGTGACATCTCCAGGGCAGGTATTTCCCCTCTCCATCCCCTTCTTTCCAGGAAGTCCCTTTGCTATGCTTACCTAGGTGACTTTCTCTGGAAGATCCCTTCAGTTGAGGAGTTTTCTCTGTAGCACAACCTGTCCAAGTAGAGCCCAAGTAAAGCTTCACCTGGACTACGGCCATGTTGTGGTCATGCCTTTTAATTGTTCCACCCTGAAATCCTCAAACTCAAATACCCACTCAGTAGAACCCACACTCAAGGGAGCAGATCATATGAGGAAATGAGCACCAGGAGGTGGGGCATTAGGGCTCAGTGTTTGATTAATACAGTTTGCCCTCTCATCTCGAAAGTTTCATGTTTCTCTCACTTACCAGACACATTCATTAGGCCTTGTGTTTGGTGTTGCACACACAGAAAGGGGTAGAAGTGCATCTGTGAACTAGGGGTTTATGTCTCATTTCCCCACCTGCATCTGTCCCTGTGGAAACGGTTGGTGTGTGCCAGAGAACAGTAGTACTCAGCCTCGTCCTCAGGCTGGGCCCCCGTGATAATGAGGGTGGCTTTGTTTCCAGAGGTAGATCCAGGAAAGCGATCAGGGACCCCCAAAGGGCGGCTGTTTGTATTGGAGATGAGTGTGTGGGGAGCCCGGCCTGGGATCTGCTGGTACCAGCTGGAGTAGTTACTGGTAGAGACTGACCCAGAGCTAAGGACACAAGTGAATGTGACCGTTCCTCTTGGAGACACTGACAGAGATGGCTCCTGGGTCGCCACAGTCTGAGAATTCACCCCTAGAAGAATTCACCCCTAGAACCTTCTCTCTTGTTCTGGGAGAGAAGGTTACCTTGAATCCCTGCTTTTATGTGTCCCCCAAGAATGCAATCTTTCTCTAACCGGAGCTGTAAGCGAGGAACCTGAGCAGAAGCACCATTCTGGCCATGATGGGGACACTCACAGGACAAGGCCTCCTCAGGCACCCTGGCTGGAGTGTGGTGTCCTTGGGGTATTTTCATACCTCCCAGACCCATTAGAAGGGAAAGGTGCTTCATGCAAATCAGCTTCCTTTCTCTTTCTGCCTTAGTGTCAACTTGATGCTCCCTGGGGGAGATCTTGAAAGAGGCAGATGAGTGACTTCACTTAGACCCATGACAATATGATGAAGACAGTGAATAAGAGGAGTGGACATATGTCACCAAATCAGTTTCCCCACATCCCTGGTGACCTTAACCCTAATTTCTTTCCTGGAATGGCTGTGGGCTGCATGAGGAGATAATTGTGTTCACCTCCTGGCCCAGGAATCTAGTTCATCACTATCTAACCCCATCCCTGAGAACATTTTCTTCCCTCCTCAGTGAAACTCCTTCTTGTCTTATTTGGAGGAGCTCAGCAGTCGCTCCTCCCTCCAAAAGTAGAGTCCACTGGGAAATCATAGAGGTCATGTCCGGGGAGTGTCACCCAGGAGCAACGGACAAGTAGGCTGAGGCTGAGTGTGCCAACACAAGGCTGCACTGCCAGGCATGACGGCAGCTCTCCTTTGTTCTAAGAAGTCATCAATTACTTGTAGTAGCTTCATTTGAGCGGAAGGTTTTGAGTTGGAAAAGTCAGTGTCACCATGAAATTCTGAGATACTGCGCAACACTGATATAACAAAACAGGAAAACATGTGTCTCAGAATCAGACATAAAAATAACTGTGGAAACGCATTGGTGTGAAAATCATGGAGCCTTTTAAAACTCTTCCCCTTTACATTCTGCCCTGGAGCAGAGGGTGGGAGGGTGGAGAAGGGATGTAGGATGTAAGGAGTGCTAGAGAGGGCAAAATGTCTCCAGCAACTGGGGAAGATACACACACATTGGCTGCATAGGTGTGAAATAAAAGTATGATTTTGTCTTCATTTTGAAATTACAAGTAAGTTGTCTGTTTAATGAAAGTTAAATGGTTATTTTTTGTTTCATTTCATATGTGTTTGAGAGCCCAAAGTCATATTAGACAAAATAGTCAAGTCATACTAAAATATTTTTCCCATTATATAAATATATCTCTGATAGTGTAGAGAAAAATCGGTAATTCTCATCCATCGTATTTTCAGATGAGGAGGAGCATTACCCAAAGAAAGATAAGTAGAAAGCTGAAAATAAAGCAATAGTAGCTCCATCAGTCATTACATACTAGTGAAATAAATGAGAAATGACAGACTAGTAAAAAATTACGACTAAAATGATGACAGAAAAAAAGGGTGAGTGCACTTATTACAAATTTCATCATTAATACATTTGTCAGGGATAATTAGCAGCAAGGGACCCTGATGTTCGCTGCTCTGCAGACTCCAGGCGTTCCACAGACACCATGGGTCCCATTAAGTTTTCCTGCGGAGCAGGTCAGGGTGGGGATTAGGAGCCAGTGTGGAACAGAATGTTGATGGGCTGGATATGAGAGAAGAACCCAGATCCTGGGACCCCCTCACATGCAAGAAAAAGGCAGAGCAGCGCCCCCTGTGGGTCCTGAGGAACACAGCCTGACTGAGGCAGGAGCTGACCATGGCCTCTTCACATCTGCTCTCCCCAAATTCCAGGTGCCTGAGCACCTGGGGACGGCACACATATCCTAGCCTCGGTCCAAATCCTCCCAGGGACCAGGGTAATTTTTCTTGATATGACATGGATTCTTCTTCCTCGTATGTTGAGTCATTTGTGCAAATATCAGCTATGACAATAAACGAGATTGGCTTGTAATTTTTAAAGCGATACTGTTTCTGGTGGGTTGGGCTGCATTATTTTCTAGAATAAGAAAATGAGCTTAGGCTACGTGCTCTCTATAGTGATATATCATTTTTAAACACTTGAAAACAATTTAGTCACTGGATGGCTAATCCAGCAGCATCTGACTCGGAACACTGGAAGGAGAGTTAGAAGATGGCTGACATTGTAGACGATGATCACTTGTGCCCAGGTGACCTCAAAGGGCCGTGCCATTGACCTCTGCTTCCCCTTATCCTTTCCCTTGTTCCTAAAAGAAACCCTTTGTTCAGGCAGTGAGGAGGTGTAAAGAGGAATCTGGATTGTGGTGAAGAAGCCCCAGAGCTCTGTTTTCTGAGACATAATTGTTGGCGTTGACACAATTCCCTCCCTGGTGTCTCCTATCCTATGTTTAGGGAGCACTGTAGGTTAAGTTTTTTCAAGCCAATTTATTTTTGTTGTACAATTGTCCATCTGTCTTCCCTGTAAGTCAGGCCTGGACAATTGAATCCATGAGAGGAGAAAGATGAAATCCAAGGCAAGGCAGTGTCAAAGCTGTGATTCTGGGGCCCAGGTGGAGGAAAGTCACACTTCAGTGAGGTCATTGCCCAGCCAAGCATGCAAGAACCAATAGAGTATTCCCTAGCCCACCTGTCCCAGAACCCTGAGCTCTCAGGACCAGTTCACCTGCGCCCCCTGCTGGGCTCAGAACTGATGTCCTCTGGCCTTTTCCATCACACCCATCTCTCCTGGAAGGTCTTTCTGATTTTTGCAGTTGGATCTTATGATGTCACTAAACAGGGCAGTGGAATGAATAGATTCCCCCCTGTGGTTTTGGGCTTGAGCCATTAATTCATCCAAATCAATAATGTCCTACAGACAGCTAAATGAAATACTATGTTACCAGGTATTCAAGGATAACCTTGTAGTTGAGTTTGCTTCTGCCTTGCCCCTGTGCTCATTACTGATACATGACAGCCTTGAGCCAAGTTCAAGGTGTAAAGTGCCCTAGATAACCCAGTTAGTTCATACCTGGTAACTTCTACTTGAGTGACCCTTACAGGTGAGTATATTTGGTTGTTGTTGTTGCTTTGGATGTTGTAAGGGGCTCCTGTCAGGTCCCCAGCCCACATTGCACATGCCTTGGCCTTTTATGTATAATTTTGCCATGAAAATATAACAGTTTTAGGAAAACAAATGTCCTTTGTTCTTGGTTACTACTGTGCGTTCCTTTTGTCCTTCAACTTATCCTTGAGATACATATATTCTTATCCTTTCCAATAAAGGTATTTTTAGTTTAGTTTAGTATTTTTATTTTTAGTTTAGTTTAGTTTAATTTTTCTCAATACGGTATAAAAGAACATTACTATGAATGGAACTCTCATTTGCTTTCAGAGGTTCTTTCTCCATTTGTAGCCTAAGAAACACCATGGCTTGTTCTGCAATCCATGTTAGCCCTGGTAAAGTTAATTTGTTATAACTCCGTGGACTTTAATGTGGGAGTTGGATTTATAAGGTCTAGGTTCCAAAGACTAGTGTTTACCAAATTTCATCCCAAACAAAGAACCACAGGAGGGGAAATATGAGAAGTTATGGGATTAGAGTTGAGAATGTGAACACTTTACGGGGATGAGCCTTCTCGTGCCTGGAGATCAGGAGCTCCTCAGGGTGCAGTCTCAAGAGAAAAAGAGAAACTCAGCTTCCTCAAAGTGTCAGGGGTCAGAGAATGAGCAGTAAATTCCCTGCCTGGAGCAAGGACATCCTGGGGCTTGCAGAGGGCATCTGGTTCTTCCAGGTCACAGCTGCTGAACTGCTTTTCTTGCCTCTATGCCCAGCAACTCTGAGGGATATTTGGTATCTGGGTACAAAATGACCTGTTTGAATTGGAAGAGCAATCAGAAGAGGAGATATTTTTATTGACCCCTAAAGAACAAACCAGGGCCTGAGCATATTGCTACCTGGTTAAATAGCATACAAAGTGACAGAAGAAGCCAAAATTTGAGCTGGTGTTGGTGACAATTAAAGGGAGAGCAATGATGTGTCACGAGGGAGACTGGGGCAGACTTTTACTTCATTCCCCATGGCATGGGTGTGCTTCCTGCTTTGGGTGTGTGTAGCTACATGACATTGATAGCATGCTCATCACGCTGGAGCTCAGAGGTGGTCAAGGAGGCCATGTGTACAAACCAGGAGCCAGAGCAAAGTTCTGAACCCCTGAGGATCAATCACCTCTGTCCTATGTCATAAGGTAGGCAGAGAGAAAGAGAGAAAGCCAATTCTTGCAAGAGTCACATTGAAGAGATTGGTGTACCCTGGGAGTGACTGGAAGAGGCACAGAGCGATGAAGCACAGGACAGGAGAAAGGGGCCTTGCAGCCCCCTTCCCTGTGCTGTGTTGGCCATTTTCTATCTATCTATCTATCTATCTATCTATCTATCTATCTATCTATCTATCTATCTATCATCTATCTGTCTATCCATCCATCTCTCTCTCTCCCTCTCTCTCTCTCTCTTTCTCTTCTCACCTGAGGATATTTTTTTCCCCATTGCTTTTCAGAGAGAGTAGAAGGGAGGGAGGGAGAGAGAAAGAGAGACGGAGGCATCAACGGGTTGCCACCCACACCCGCCCTTGACCAAGGGCACAGAGTGACCCGCAACCCAGGTACATGCCCTTGACCAGGAATAGAACACACGACCCTTAGGTGCCTCAGCTGATGCTCTAACCACAGAGACACCCCTCCCCTGCCAGGGCTCCACCCCATCTCTTTGTGTCTGCATCTGAGGCTGAGCCATCCTGAGCACCCAGGGAGGTTTTGGTTGCACTTCCCCGTGGGTCTGCATCACTGTGTAAATGCCACTACCCATGTACAGAGCACAGTAATAGTCGGCTTCATCCTCGGGCTGGGCCCCCGTGATGGTGAGGGCGGCTTTGTTCCCAGAGATGGATCCAGAGAAGCGATCAGGGACCCCCGAGGGCCGGCTGTTTGTGTTGTATATGAGCATGCGGGGAGCCTTGCCCGGGGTCTGCTGGTACCAGCTGGGTTCGTTACTGCTACTCGTGACTGGCCCAGAGCTCAGTCCACAGGTGAGTGTGACCGTCCCTCCAAGAGATACTGACAGTGACGGCTCCTGGGTCACCACAGTCTGAGAATCCACCCCTGAAATGGACATGAGAGAGACAGGTGTTATGAGAGACAAAGGTCACCCTGAGACCCTGCTCCTATGTGCCTCCAAGGATGCAGAGTCCCCTCCTCTGACCTGAGCTGAAAGCCAGGAGCTGGAAGAGAAGCACCGTCCAGGCCATGGTGGGGACACTCACAGGGCTCGGCCTCCTCAGGCTCCTTGGCTGGAGTTTAGTGCCCTTGGGCCTTTTCATGCCTCCCAGACTCATTAGGAGGAGAAGGTGCTTCATGCAAATCAGCTTACCCTCTAGTCTGCCCCAGTGTCACACTGATGTCCCCTGGGGAAAGTCTCAAAAGAGATGCTGGGACCTGACACAGTCCAACCTGCATAGTGACTGAGACCCTCCCTGAGTGAGGGGGTTGAGATCTTTCACCAAGTCAACTTCCTGATGTCCTTGGTGACCTCAGGCCTCAGTTCCTTTCCTCCGGGCCCAGAAGGCTGAAGGATCAGAGGAGAGTGTTCACCTTGTGGCCCCAGAAATCTTGTTCACCCCAATTCTAGCCCCATTCCTGGAACATCACCTCTTTTGTGAGGTAAATCCCATTTTGTCTTCTTTGGCGTATCTTAGCAGTCATACCCCCTCCAGCAGTGAGTCCAGTAGGAATTCACAGATTACATGTCTGGGGTGTGAAGGGACCAGGGTCTCCCCCTGACTCAATCCTAGACCCTGTCCCAGTAGATTAGTTGGGGGACAGGGCTGAGTGTCCTGACACAGACAGCTGCACAGCCAGGCAGGGACGGCAACTCTCTTTTGTTGGAAGAAGCCATCAATTTTATGAAGTAGTTACATGTGGTTTTGTGGGATTTTTTTCTTAATTTTATTTTTGTTTAAAATATTACAGATGTCCCTTTTTCTCCCCAATGACCCATTCCACCCTGTCTCATCCCCCTCCCCTTGAGTGTGGTTTTGAGCAGAAAATGTAACACTGTCACCTTAGAATCATGGAAAACCTCCGAACATCTGATATAGCAAAATCAGACTATGTATGTCATGATCAGAGTGAGAACCACACTGTGTGTGAACACGTTGGGTGAACATCACAGGACGTGTTAAACTCCATTTCCCTTGACATTGTGCTGTGGGCCCCAAGGAACGGGAAGGGTGAGCCTTCAGGAGCCAGTGTGAGGTGGAGGGATTGATAGCCTGGCTATGGGGGATGCGCCCAGGCTCCCAGGAGCCCTGCCCATGAAAGAGGGAGACAGAGCAGCGCCCCCTGTGTGTCCCGAGTGACACTGCCTGACGCAGAGGGGCTTCCTCAGGGCGGTGTTTTTATCTCTGAGAGAACATGGGGTGCAGGCTGCCCATGGCCTCTTCACATCTGCTCTCCCCCAAATGCCAGGCCCACCCTCCCCCGGAGCCTGGGCACAAACCCTGGCCTCAGCCCGAACCCTCGCTGTGGGTCAGGCACTTCCCTTGATGGAACGCCTTGCTCACTTGTTGAGTCATTTTGCGCCTATTCCCTGTGATTAGAAATGGGTGTTTTTGGTAATGTTCCCATATGCTACTGTTCCTGTTGTGTTTAGCTCCTTTACTTGCTGCAATGAAAGCATTAGTTTAGGGTTTTAGGCTACATGCTTTCTCTGTCTGTGTGGCAGAGACGGCACCATCTGATCCAGGCCCCAGGACGCAGGGTTAGGAGGTGGCAGAACAGATGGGACAATGGACCAGCTGACACAGATAGCAGGAGACAACGCGGAGCAAGTGTCACCCTCCCCTCATATCCTGTCACTGTCCACTAAAGGGAACTCCATGTGCAAAGAGTGAAAAGGTGAAGAGAGGAATCTGGGCCACCCAGCAGAAGCCCTGAGCTCTGCTTGTTGAGGCCTAATTGTTGGCATTGAGACCATCCCTCCCCAGATGTCATATCCTATGGTGTCTCTTATCCTAGGCCCACGTGGCACTGTAGGTCATGATTCTTCAAGCAACATTATTTTTGTTGTCTGATTGTTCATCTGTCTTGCCTATAAATCAGGTCTGGACAGTGAATCAATGACGGGAGGAGAATGGGTTATGAGACAAGTGTTTGTGAGAACCAAGTGCTCATGTGGTTTCTGGGGCGCCAGGTGCAGGAAAGTCGCACTTGAGTGAGGACACTGCTGCCCAAGTGTGCAAGGGCCAGTAGAGTATTTTCCTAGGCTGCCTGGAGAAGAANTGCTGCCCAAGTGTGCAAGGGCCAGTAGAGTATTTTCCTAGGCTGCCTGGAGCAGACCCCTGAGCTCTCAGTCCCAGTCCACCAGCGCCCCCTGCTGGTCTCAGAACTCATGTTCTTCAGCCCATTTTACCCCTCCTTCCTGGAAGGGCTTTCTGCTCTTCTGATGTCACACCCAGGGCAGTAGAAAGACCATGTCCCCTCTATGATCCTTAATTTTACTTCAGGTTACTATTTATCTTCAGGAAGCTAATGAAATGCTATGTTCCCCGATGTTCAAGATTACCTGATTCTTGAGTTTACCTCTGTCTGTGCCCTGGGTTAATTTTTGGTACATGACTTTCTGAGCAAAGTCTGAGGCTTAAATTTTCCCAGAAAACCGAATTAATTCATAGCTGGTAATAATTCCACTTCGATGATCCTTCTTGGTTGAAATACATGTTTGTTTGAATGCTATTGTTTCTGTAGTTGTTTTGAGACTCCAGTGTTGGATCTGGGCTCCCCATGTCCCTCATGTTAGTTTCTGCAGCCCATGTTGAGACAGAAACACTGCAGGAAAATCAGCCCTGTCCTCTGGTGTCCAAACTCACTCTAGGGCTTTATTCCTATTTGCAGCCTGGGAAGCTGATTGTGGGAGGGATTGAGCTGGGGCAGGAGTGGCAAGAGGTGGTCTGATATGTGGCTACCCAAGGGCCTGTGTAGACACACCCGCTGGGCCTGAATGAGAACAGGATAGAAGGCTCCAGACCAGGGTGAGGTGGTGGCACCAGCTGGGATCACAGCACAGACCTCTGAGGTTCAGGCCACAGTGCCCAGTGCTGCCTTAGGCTCAGATGTGCCCGTATGTTCTGACTTCTCCACTGTCCATTTGACCCTCCCTCACGGGATCTAGCTGCACAGTGGCCATGCACCAAGCATTTCTCATTTCTGCTCACAGGTCTCCTGCACCAGGATGCACCTTCCTGGCTCAGCATGTTTATAGGAAAGTCCTGGGAACAGGGCCTCCTGATGGAGACCCCCCTGGGGGCAGTAGAGCAGGAAGCCCAGTGAGGAGTCAGCAGCCACCTCACTCAGACTCAATTCTGAGAAATGGGATTGAAGTTGAGCTCCTTCCCAGGCTGCAGGAATCATGGATGGGACCCTGGGTCTTCACTGTTAAGGATGCTGTCCGGTTATAATATCAGGGAATACATGGCCTCAAGAAATATGTCCGGGATTCTTCCCTCCTCCTCTGTTTCCTTTGAAACTCTATGTATAATATTTATTACTCCCTACTTAGGTACTTGATTAAGGTAACCTAAACCCACCTGAGTCTGGATTTGTGTTTTGAAAATGTCTGAAGCTATTGTGATCAACTGCTGAATATCTGGAGGGACAAACATGGAATCATACCGAACTGATTTCTCATTTCATTAAACAATATTTACAGTATATAAACAGGCAAGGTTTTTACTAGGTTCCACTTTTAAATGAATATAATTTTATTGTAGGCCTAAAATAAACTGCATTTTAATTTATTAGAAATAAATTAGTTCTGGAATTTTGATAAACATAATATTTTTAGAAAGGAAGAGAGAAGCTGACCAAATGCACCTTTAAGTTCTAAGCAAATCTTCCCTGGTGTGTGACACCAACAGAGAATATATTCTTTTCTAATATCTCCTGGTTTCCTGGTGCTTCCCGGGGAGCATACAACCCTGGGGAAACCATATCCCAGGTTGTACAGTCAAAGTCAGCGTCCACTGGGCACACACCTCCCGCAGTTCTGTATCTGCTACCATGCATTGTGCCATAGTCCAGTTATTGTCATGGGAAATGATGATTTCCACATAACATTTTGTCCCTGCAGTCAGGGTGAAGCTTATGTATATATGCATATAACATATATTTCACATTGTGAAAACTCAGCCTGTTCATATACTGTAAATATTTTCTAATGAAATGAGAAATCAGTTCTGTTAAAAGCTTATATATATATACAGATACATAATTATATATCTCCTTAAGAGAATTCTATTGTAATATTACTTAAATAGAGAAAGAAAAAGTCAGTGAAACCAAAACTTTCACCTTGTTTTCCCATTTCAATCTCCAGCATTGGCCGCCTTAAGGCACATTCTTGCAGGGACACCACCTGCAGCCCTGCTCCTCCTGTCCTGGCAAATGGAGAGTCAGCTGGGGAGTGGTAGGCGTGTTTCTGGAAGCCAGGCCTCATGGGTCCTTTCTAATGCCTTACATGGTCAACTGAAGCACTAACGTATCCTTAGAAACTTCTGTTTAGGAAGTCTCTCCAAAACAGCTGTGACACTTGTGTGACATCATGGCTCAGGTTTCAGCAATGGTTTCAGATTGGAAATCTATTGCTGAGTGTCCCTGGGATTTGGATGCTAATTTTGGGAGTAATTGAGTCAAGGAATGGTACCTGACTTAATTTTAAGCAGAAACGCTCAGGAAATACTTTGATAAAGCATTTCAGAAGAAGGGATGCTTCTCAGAAGAAGCANGGATGCTTCTCAGAAGAGATACTTTGAAACCTTCACCTTTTACAACCTCCTGGACATAAAGATTCTGGGACAACACTACAAATATCTCACTCAGTGGGTCTAGTGTAAGACATTACATTTCCAACAAGTCCCAGGGAAGGCTCCCATTTCACTTTCAAAAGAAATATTAAGTTTGTTTTCACAATCAAATAATCACTGAGGGTATGTTGTTAAAGTTCTTTGAACGAGAAGAGTCCTACAGGAACCTGTGGGGTGTGTGAATCTCACTGTTCATACATTTTGGAGCTGAGTCCACACCCCATAAGTATGGACAGAGGGGAAAAGAGAAAGCCCATTGTTGCAGGAGTCACACTGAGAGATGGACACACCCCAGGAGAGACTGGAGGAGGCACATGCCGATGAAGGGCTGTACAGGAGGACAGGGACACAGAGCCCCTCCCTGTGGTGTGTTGGCATTTCCCCCCTTTCACAGTTTTCTGCATCTCAGGCTGAGCCATCCTGAGCACACAAGGAGGTTTTGGTTGCACTTCCCCGTGGGTCTGCATCACTGTGTAAATGTAACTACCCATGTCCAGAGCACAGTAATAGTCGGCTTCATCCTCGGGCTGGGCCCCCGTGATGGTGAGGGCGGCTTTGTTCCCAGAGATGGATCCAGAGAAGCGATCAGGGACCCCCGAGGGCCGGCTGTTTGTGTTGTATATGAGCATGCGGGGAGCCTTGCCCGGGGTCTGCTGGTACCAGCTGGGATAGTTACTGCTAGTGACTGACCCAGAGCTCAGTCCACAGGTGAGTGTGACCGTCCCTCCAGGAGACACTGACAGTGACGGCTCCTGGGTCACCACAGTCTGAGAATCCACCCCTGAAATGGACATGAGAGAGACAGGTGTTATGAGAGACAAAGGTCACCCTGAGACCCTGCTCCTATGTGCCCCCGAGGATGCAGAGTCCCCTCCTCTGACCTGAGCTGTAAGTGAGGAGCTGGAAGAGAAGCACCGTCCAGGCCATGGTGGGAACACTCACAGGACTCAGCCTCCTCAGGCTCTTTCCTGCAGTTTAGTGCCCTCGGGCCTTTTCATGCCTCCCAGACTCATTAGGAGGAGAAGGTGCTTCATGCAAATCAGCTTCCCCTCTAGTCTGCCCCAGTGTCACCCTGATGTCCCCTGGGGAGATCTTGAAAGAGGGCGATGCTGGGACCTCACATAGACCAATGATTGCACGGTGAGCGAGACCCTGAGTGAGGGGAGTTCACATGTGCCACCAAATCAGTTCTCCAATGTCCCTGGTGACCTTAATCCTAAGTTTCTTTCCTGGAGTGGCTCTGGGCTGCATGATGAGGTTCTTGTGCTTTCCTCCGCCCCCAGCGATCTAGTTCATTGAAAACGTAGCCCCATCCGGGGGAAGCTCTTCCTTCTTCAGTGAAATCTCTCCTTGGCCTCCGTGGAGGATCTTAGCAGTCACTCCTCCCTGCAGCAGTGTGTCCACTAGGAGTTCATGGATCTCATGTCTGGAGTGTGAAGGGCCCGGGACCTCCCCTGACTTCGTCCTGGACGCTGTCTCAGTAGCAGTGGTCAGGGGACAGGGCTGGGGGTCCTGACACAGACAGCTGCACACCAGGCAGGGCTGGCGACTCTGTTTTGTTCTAAGAAGCCATCAGTTTTATGCTGTAGTTTTAAATTACGTGCCATTTTGAGGAGAGAATGTTTCAGCGTCCTTGGAATCATGAGATACCTACTAACATCTGATATAACAAAAGAGGAGCTCGTGTCTTATTACCAGAGTGAGAACCACACTGTGTGTGCACAAGTTGGTGCGAACATCATAGAATATTTTAAAATTCCCTTTCCCGTTACATTCTCTGTGGGGCAGAAGGAATGGGAAAGGTGGATAAGGGATTTGGGGTGTAAGGGAGATGGTCAGTGAGCCAAAATGCCTCCAGTACTTGGGTAGGACCCCATATACCACTGGTGTTCATCAGAGTGTGAACTGAAGTTACAATTTATGGTATTTATTTTCAAATCGTTAGCTAGTATTCACCTGAGGATATGTTTTTATTGATTATTTTTTTAAGAGAAAGAGAAAGGGGCAGAGAGAGACAGGAACATTGATCTGGTGTCTCCTACTCATTCCCCAACTTGGGGTTGAATCCACAACCTAGGTATGTGTCCTGAACGGGAATCGAACCCAAAACCTTTTCCGTGTACCCGACGCTGGTCCCACCAACTGAGTCACCAGCCAGGCCTAGCCGATCCTCTGGGTATTAAAACTTGCATGAGTAATTTCTTTCTCTTTGTATGTGTTTGAGAGCCGCAGCTCATATATTAGAAAATTCTTAGTAAGTTATTTTCCTCATGTACAAACATATAACTGGTAGTGCACAGTAACAGAGAAAACTTAATACCTATCAAAATTAGAGATGAGGGGTATTAACACTCAAGAAAAAGAAAGAAAGAATCAGCTGAAATGCAAACTATCGGTTTCCATGTCACTATAAGGGGCTGAAGGAAGGGAGAAATAACAGCCGAGTCGGAATGACACCTGACCCGATGGCAGGGAGGGGATTGGCGCACTGATCACAGATCCGACATGACCACCTGGGAGTCATGTTTTTAACAGGGTGGCCCCTGGTTTGCCTCGGAGAGACTGTTGGGGGCTTTCTCCAGGCCCTGCGGGTCACCATAATCTTTCTTGTGGGGCAGATCTGGGTGGGGATTAGGAGGCAACTAATTTCTATGAAAGTAGGAGGTACTGCAAGTCTGGATTTGGGGGACACAGCCAGAGCCCTACAGCCTCTCACCTGCAGGAAGGACACAGAGCGCCCCCTGTGTGTCCCGAGTGACACTGCCTGACGTAGAGGGGCTTCCTCAGGGCGGTGCTTTTATCTCTGAGAGAACATGGGGTGCAGGCTGCCCACGGCCTCTTCACATCTGCTTTCCCCCAAATGCCAGGCCCACCGCCCCCCGGAGACTGGGCACAAACCCTGGCCTCAGCCCGAACCCTCGTTGCGGGTCAGGCACTTCCCTTGATGGAACACGCATTCTCCTTGCTCAGGAGTTGAGTCATTTTTCGCCTATTCGCTGTGATTAGAAATGGGTGTTTTTGGTAATGTTCCCACATGCTACTGTTCCTGTTGTGTTTAGCTCCTTTACTTGCTGCAATGAAAGCATTAGTTTAGGGTTTTAGGCTACATGCTTTCTCTGTCTGTGTGGCAGAGACGGCACCATCTGATCCAGGNTACATGCTTTCTCTGTCTGTGTGGCAGAGACAGCACCATCTGATCCAGGCCCCAGGACGCAGGGTTAGGAGGTGGCAGAACAGATGGGACAATGGACCGGCTGACCCAGATAGCAGGAGACAAGGCAGAGCAAGTGTCACCCTCCCCTCATATCCTGTCACTGTCCACTAAAGGGAGCTCCCTGTGCAAAGAGTGAAAAGGTGAAGAGAGGAATCTGGGCCACGGTGGAGAAGCCCCAAGCTCTGCTTGTTGAGGCCTAATTGTTGGCATTGGGACCATCCCTCCCCAGATGTCTCTTATCCTATGGTGTCTCTTATCCTATGTCTCTTATCCTGTGATGTCTCTTATCTTAGGCCCACGTGGCACTGTAGGTCATGATTCTTCAAGCAACATTATTTTTGTTGTCTGATTGTTTATATATCCTGCCTATAAATCAGGCCTGGACAGTGAATCCATGATGGGAGGAGAATGGGTTATAAGACAAGTGTTTGTCAGAACCAAGTGCTCATGTGGCTTCCGGGGCGCCTGGTGCAGGAAAGTCACACTTGAGTGAGGACACTGCTGCCCAAGTGTGCAAGGGCCAGTAGAGTATTTTCCTAGCCTGCCTGGAGCAGACCCCTGAGCTCTCAGTCCCAGTCCACCAGCGCCCCCTGCTGGTCTCAGAACTCATGTCCTTCAGCCCATTTTACCCCTCCTTCCTGGAAGGGCTTTCTGCTCTTTCTGATGTCACACCCAGGGCAGTAGAAAGACCATGTCTCCTCTGTGAGGGTTGGTTGATCCTTTATTTTACTTCAGGTTACTATTTATTCTCAGAAAGCTAATGAAATGGTATGTTCCCCGATGTTCAAGATTACCTGATTCTTTGAGTTCACCTCTGTCTGTGCCCTGAGTTAATTTCTGGTACATGACTTTCTGAGCAAAGTCTGAGGCTTAAATTTTCCCAGGAAACCGAAATAATTCATACCTGGCAATAATTCCACTTGGGTGATCCTTCCTGGTTGAAATACATGTTTGTTGTTTGAATGCTGTTGTTTCTGTAGTTGTTTTGAGACTGCTGTGCTGGATCTGGGCTCCCCATGTCCCTCAGGTTAGTTTCTGCAGCCCATGTTGAGGCAGGAACACTGCAGGAAAATCAGCCCTGTCCCCTGGTGTCCAAACTCACTCTAGGGCTTGATTCCTACTTGCTGCCTGGCAAGCTGATCCTGGGAGGGGTAGAGCTGGGGCAGGAGTGGCAAGAGGTGGTCTGATATGTGGCTGCCCAAGGGCCTGTGTAGACACAGCTGCTGGGTGCGAATGAGCACAAGATAGAACCCACCAGACCAGGGTGAGGTGGTGGCACCAGCTGGGATCACAGCACAGACCTCTGAGGTTCAGGCCACAGTGCCCGGTGCTGCCTTAGGCTCAGCTGTGCCCTTATGTTCTGACTTCTCCACTGTCCATTTGACCCTCCCTCACGGGATCTAGCTGCACAGTGGCCATGCACCAAGCATTTCTCATTTCTGCTCACAGCTCTCCTGCACAAGGATGCACCTTCCCGGCTCAGCATGTTTATAGGAAAGTCCTGGGAACAGGGCCTCCTGATGGAGACCCCCCTGGGGGCAGTAGAGCAGGAAGCCTAATGAGGAGTCAGCAGCCACCTCACTGAGACTCAATTCTGAGAAATGGGATTGAAGTTGAGCTCCTTCCCAGGCTGCAGGAATCATGGATGGGACCCTGGGTCTTCACCGTTAAGGATGCTGTCCGGTTATAATATCAGGGAATACATGACCTCACGAAATATGTCAGGGATTCTTCCTTCCTCCTCTGTTTCCTTTGAAATTCTATGTATAATATTTATTACTCCCTACTTAGGTACTTGATTGAGGTAACCTAAAGCCACCTGATTCTGCATTTGTGTTTTGAAAATGTCTGAAGCTATTGTGATCAACCGCTTAAAATCTGTAGTGACAAACATGGAATCATAAAAAACTGATTTCTCATTTCATGAAACAATATGTACAGAATATGAACAGGCCAGGTTTTCACTAGGTTGCACTTTCAAATCAATATAATTTTATTGCAGGCCTAAAATAAACTGCATTTTAATTTTTTAGAAATAAATTAGTTCTGGAATTTTACTAAACATAATATTTTTAGAATGAAGAGAGAAGCTGCCCAAATCCACTTTCAAGTTCCGAGCAAATCTTCCCTCATGTGTGGCACCAACAGAGAATTTATTCTTTCCTAATATCCCCTGGTATCCTGGTGCTTCCCGGGGAGCAGATGAACCTGGGGAAACCATATCCCAGGTTGTACAGTCAAAGTCAGCGTCCACTGGGCACACACCTCCCTCATTCTGTATCTGCCAGTATGCAGTGTGCCTCAGTCCCCCTATTGTTATGGGAAATGATGATTTCCACATAGCGTTTTGTCCCTGCAGTCGGGGCAAAGCTTATTATATATGCATATAACATATATTTAACATTGTGAAAACTCGGCCTGTTCATATACTATAAACATTGTCTAGTGAAATGAGAAATAAGTACTGTTTTTATATATATATGTATATATAAATACTTATATCCTCAACAAATCTATATATATATTTATATATATATATATATATATATATATAAATACTTATATCCTCAACAAAGTTCTTTTTTAATATCATTTTTTATAGAGAGAAAGTCAGTGAAACCAAAACTTTCACCTTGTTTCCCCATTTCACTCTCCAGTATTGGCCGCCTTAAGGCACATTCTTGCAGGAACACCACCTGCAGCTCTACTCCTCCTGTCCTGGCAAATGGAGAGTCAGCTCGGGAGTGGTAGGTGTGTTTCTGGACGCCAGGCTTCATGGATCCTTTCTAATGCCTTACATTGTCATCTGAGGCACTAAAGTATCCTTAGAAACTTCTGTTTTGGAAGTCCCTCCAAAACTGCTCTGATGGTTGTGTGACATCATGACTCAGGTTTCAGCAATGGTTTCAGATTGTAAATCTATTGCTGAGTGTCCCTGGGATTTGGATGCTAATTTTGAAAGAGATTGAGTCAAGGAATGGTACCCTGACTTAATTTTAAGCAGAAATGCTCAGGAAATACTTTGATAATAATAGAAGAAGAGATGCTTCTGAAACCTTCACCTTTAACAACCTCCTGGACATAAAGATTCTGGGACAACTCCACAAGTCTCTGACTCAGTGGGTCTAGTGTGAGACATTACATTTCTAACAAGTCCCAGGGAACGCTCCCATTTCACTTTAAAAAGAAATATTAACTTTGTTTTCACAATCAAATAATGACTGAGGGTATGTTGTTAAAGTTCTTTGAATGAGAGGAGTCCTACAGGAACCTGTGGGGTGTGTGAATCTCGCTGTTGATATGTTTTGGAGCTGAGTCCACACCCCATAAGTATGGACAGAGGGGAAGAGAGAAAGCCCATTGTTGCAGGAGTCACTTTGATGAGATGGGCACAACCGGGGAGACACTGGAGGAAGCACATGCCGATGAAGGGCTGGACAGGAGGGCAGGGACACAGAGCCCCTCCCTGTGGTGTGTGGGCATTTCCCCCCTTTCGCAGTTTTCTGCATCTGAGGCTGAGCCATTCTGAGCACACAAGGAGGTTTTGGTTGCACTTCCCCGTGGGTCTGCATCACTGTGTATTGCCAATAGTGATGGGTAGAAAACAGTAATAGTCGGCTTCATCCTCGGGCTGGGCCCCCGTGATGGTGAGGGCGGCTTTGTTCCCAGAGATGGATCCAGAGAAGCGATCAGGGACCCCCGAGGGCCGCTTGTTTGTTTCATAGATCAGCGTGCGGGGAGCCTTGCCCGGGGTCTGCTGGTACCAGCTGGGGTAGTAACCTGTAGTGACTGACCCAGAGCTCAGTCCACAGGTGAGTGTGACCTTCCCTCCAAGAGACACTGAGAGTGACGGCTCCTGGGTCACCACAGTCTGAGAATCCACCCCTGAAATGGACATGAGAAAGACAGGTGTTATGAGAGACAAAGGTCACCCTGAGACCCTGCTCCTATGTGCCCTGAGGATGCAGAGTCCCCTCCTCTGACCTGAGCTGTAAGTGAGGAGCTGGAAGAGAAGCACCGTCCAGGCCATGGTGGGGACACTCACAGGACTCGGCCTCCTCAGGCTCTTTCCTGGAGTTTAGTGCCCTCGGGCCTTTTCATGCCTCCCAGACTCATTAGGAGGAGAAGGTGCTTCATGCAAATCAGCTTCCCCTCTAGTCTGCCCCAGTGTCACCCTGATGTCCCCTGGGGAGATCTTGAAAGAGGGCGATGCTGGGACCTCACATAGACCAATGATTGCACGGTGAGCGAGACCCTGAGTGAGGGGAGTTCACATGTGCCACCAAATCAGTTCTCCAATGTCCCTGGTGACCTTAATCCTAAGTTTCTTTCCTGGAGTGGCTGTGGGCTGCATGATGGGGTTCTTGTGCTTTCCTCCTCCCCCAGCGATCTAGTTCATTGAAAACGTAGCCCCATCCGGGGGAAGCTCTTCCTTCTTCAGTGAAATCTCTCCTTGGCCTCCGTGGAGGATCTTAGCAGTCACTCCTCCCTGCAGCAGTGTGTCCACTAGGAGTTCATGGATCTCATGTCTGGAGTGTGAAGGGCCCGGGACCTCCCCTGACTTCGTCCTGGACGCTGTCTCAGTAGCAGTGGTCAGGGGACAGGGCTGGGGGTCCTGACACAGACAGCTGCACACCAGGCAGGGCTGGCGACTCTGTTTTGTTCTAAGAAGCCATCAGTTTTATGCTGTAGTTTTAAATTACGTGCCATTTTGAGGAGAAAATGTTTCAGCATCCGTGGAATCATGAGATACCTACTAACATCTGATATAACAAAAGAGGAGCTCGTGTCTTATTACCAGAGTGAGAACCACACTGTGTGTGCACAAGTTGGTGCGAACATCATAGAATATTTTAAAATTCCCTTTCCCGTTACATTCTCTGTGGGGCAGAAGGAATGGGAAAGGTGGATAAGGGATTTGGGGTGTAAGGGAGATGGTCAGTGAGCCAAAATGCCTCCAGTACTTGGGTAGGACCCCATATACCACTGGTGTTCATCAGAGTGTGAACTGAAGTTACAATTTATGGTATTTATTTTCAAATCGTTAGCTTGTATTCACCTGAGGATATGTTTTTAATGATTATTTTTTTAAGAGAAAGAGAAAGGGGCAGAGAGAGACAGAAACATTGATCGGGTGTCTCCTATACATGCCCCAACTTGGGGTTGAACCCACAACCTAGGTATGTGTCCTGAACGGGAATCGAACCCACAACCTTTTCCCTGTACCCGACGCTGGTCCCACCAACTGAGTCACCAGCCAGGCCTAGCCGATCCTCTACATATTAAAACTTGCATGAGTAATTTCTTTCTCTTTGTATGTGTTTGAGAGCCGCAGCTCATACATTAGAAAATTCTTAGTAAGTTATTTTCCTCATGTACAAACATATAACTGGTAGTGCACAGTAACAGAGAAAACTTAATACCTATCAAAATTAGAGATGAGGGGCAGTAACACTCAAGAAAAAGAAAGAAAGCACAAGCTGAAAATGCAAACTATTGGTTTCCATGTCAATTTAAGGGGCTGAAGGAAGGAAGAAATAACAGCCGAGTCGGAATGACACCTGACCCGATGGCAGGGAGGGGACTGGCGCTCTGATCACAGATCCGCCCTGAGCACCTGGGAGTCATGTTGGCAGCAGGGGGGCCCCTAGTTTGCCTCCGACAGACTGTCGCGGGCGTTCTCCAGGCCCTGCGGGTCACCGTGATCTTTCTTGTGGGGCAGATCTGGGTGCCTACTAATTTCTATGAAAGTAGGAGATGCTCAAAGTCTGGATTTGGGGGACACACCCAGAGCCCAACAGCCTTTCACCTGCAGGAAGGACACAGCTCGCCCCTGTGTGTCCCGAGTGACACTGCCTGACGCAGAGGGGCTTCCTCAGGGCGGTGCTTTTATGTCTGAGAGAACATGGGGCCGCAGGCTGCCCACGGCCTCTTCACATCTGCTCTCCCCCAAATTCCAGGTCCACCCTCACCCGGAGGCTGGGCACAAATCCTGGCCTCAGCCCAAACTCTCTCTGCAGGTCAGGAGAATTTGTCTTGATATAAGGTGTTCTTCTTGCTCTTAATTTGAGTCATTAGTGCAACTATCACCTATGATCATAAATACAATTTTTGGGGGGTAATTTTCCAATATGCTACTGTTCCTGTTGTATTTGGCTCCTTTGATTTGCTAGAATGACAACATTAGTTTAGGCTATGTTCTCTCTCTCCCTCTCCCCTCTCTGTCTGGCAGAGAGAGCACACCCTCTCTCCCCCCTCTCTCTCTGGCAGAGACAGCACATAGCACACCCTCTCTCCCCCCTCTCTCTCTGGCAGAGACAGCACATCTGATCCAGGACCCAGGAAGCAGGGTTAGAAGGTTGCAGAATAAATTGGACAATGTGCCAAGATGGTAGGAGCCAAAGGCAGTGTAAATGCCCCCCTGTCCTCTTTCCACTCTCCACTACTGTAAATGTCTTGCGCAGTGAGTGTGGATGTGTTGAGAAGCATCCAGGCCGTGGTGGAGAAGCCCCAGGGCTCTGCTTGCTGCAGCCTAATTGTTGGCATTGAGACCATCCCTGCCCAGGAGTCTCCTGTCCTATGCCCAGGTGGCACTGTAGGTCATGTCTCTTCAAGCAATATTATTTTTTGGTGTGTGATTTTTTTTCTCTTTGCCTGTAAACCAGGCCTGGACAATGAATCCATGGCAGAAGGAGAATGGGTTATGAGACAAGTGAGTGTGTCAGAGCTGAGTGCTCATGTAGCTCCTGGGACCCAGGGGCAGGAAAGTCACACTTGAGTGAGGACACTGCCTGCCCAAGTGTGCAAGGGCCAGTAGAGTATTTTCCTAGCCTGCCTGGAGCAGACCCCTGAGCTCTCAGTCCCAGTCCACCAGCGCCCCCTGCTGGTCTCAGAACTCATGTCCTTCAGCCCATTTTACCCCTCCTTCCTGGAAGGGCTTTCTGCTCTTTCTGGTGTCACACCCAGGGCAGTAGAAAGACCATGTCCCCTCTGTGATGCTGGGTTGATCCTTTATTTTACTTCAGGTAACTATTTATCTTCAGGAAGCTAATGAAATGCTATGTTCCCCTATGTTAAAGGATTACCTGATTCTTGAGTTTACCTCTGTCTGTCCCTTGGGTTAATTCCTGGTACAGGAGCATTTTGAGCAAAGTTTGAGGCTTAAATTTTTGCACAAAGCTCCAGTAATTCATAGCTGGTAATCATTCCACTTGGGTGATCCTTCCAGGTTGAAATACTTGGTGGTGGAGGTTGTTTCTGTAGTTGGTGTGAGGGGCTCGTTAGGCCCCCAGCCCCCAGTGGACACGTCTTGGCTTCTCATGTCTGCCTTTGCCATGAGAACATAACGCTGTCAGGGAACACGTGTCTGTTCTCGATTACTTGTGTAGGTTCTCGTTACCCTTGAATGTTATACTGGCAGCACTTACCTTTTTTTGGCTCTTGAGGTATTAAGATATTTTGTCTAGTTTCGTAATTTTTCTCAGTTCAAGGGTTGACATAAAAAGAATATTATTATGAATGAAACTGTACCCCTTTTGAGAGTTTTTTCTCCACTTTGGGCTTTAGAACTGTTCATTTTCTGTTCTCCAATCTTCCTTGGCCTTATGAGGTACATTTCATAAGAGCTCCATGGATTTCATGGGAATTGGGTTTATAAGGTCTAGGTCCAAATCTCCCAACCTTTATCACATGTCATCCCAACAACAGCAACAAGACAGAGAAAAGGAGAGGTCACGGGGATACACTGGAGGGAGTGGGCCAGAGTCTGAGAGCCATGTCCTTCCTGTGGCAGGTCATGGAGATCAGAAGGTCCTCAGGGTGTAATCTCAAAAGAGAAACCAACAACCCAGCTTCCCTAAGGTGTCCGGGTTCAGAGAACAAGCATGGAGGCCAAGGCGAGGGGCAGGGGATGGGCAGGGCGTCGGTACAGGCCACCTGGGGCTCCCGGTGACATAAGCTGAACTTCCGCTTTCCTCTTTTTTACATTTAGTTTCTCAGTTACAGTTTACAGTCAATATTATTTTGTATTAGTTTCATGGGTATAGCCCAGCGGATGGATGGTCATATATTTCACATAGTGTTCCCCTGATATTGCGGGAACCCACCTGGAACATACATAGTTACAGGGTATGATTGACTGTATTCCCTGTGCTGTCCCTTACGTCCCTGTGACCACCATAACCGCCCAATCGTCCCTAATCCCTTCACCTTTTCCCCTCCGTCCCCTACGCCTCCTTTCCCCTGGCAGCGGTCAGCCTGTTCTCTGAATCTATGAGTCTGTTTCAATTCTGTGTATTTATTTTGTCCTTTAGAGCCCACCTCTGGTGACATTGTGTGGTACTTGTTTTCCTCCCACTGACTCGGTGTACTTGGCATAGTACCCTCCGGGCCTGTTGGCGGTGCCTGAGTGGTAAGAGCTCATTGCTCTCGTGGCTGAGTAATGCCCCGTTGATATACGTGCCACTTGGGTTGCTTCCAGGGCTCGGCTGTTGTAAATATGCGGCACTGAGGATGTGGAGCCACAGGCATTAAGGTTCCTTCTTTCCTCAAGGCAAGTCGCTTCCTGCAACCGTGAGCGCAGGCCTACCCTGGTTTCGTGTATCTGCTGGAAAGTCAGTCCTTACAAGAGAGCCTGGTGTCCGAGGGCAGGAGGCTGACAGGGAGCAAGTTTGCTCAGAGTGGAGGGTCAGGCCCAGGAGTCCAGGGTGGGAAGTGACAGCCTTAGGAGGACAGGAAGAAGCCACCAGGCAGAGAGTGGACANATGACCCCTCTGCAATTCATATTTTTATGATAATTTGATGTTTTTAAAATCACAGTGTTGAAGCACATTAAAATATTCCATCTGCCGTTATCCGCTTCCCTCCAGCTGAGTGGATCCTTGTGGCTCTCAGAGAAGCCTCCCCCTGGATTCCTGTTTCTGTAAGAAGGTCAGTGTTTACAACAGATCCTGGGTCTGAGGGATCTTGAAGGGGTGATGTTTGCCCAGAGCAGAAGGTCATGCCCAAGACCCAGGAGGGAAGGTGACAGCACATGGCCTCAGTGGGACAGGAAGAAGCCACCAGGCAGGGGTTAGACGCAGACAGGGAAAAGTAGTCAGAGCTTTGGGGTCTTGACAAAAACCTGAGATTGGCTACATGAGTTCCTTATGGTCAGATGCTGGTAGGTCCCTAAGTGCTGAGCTGTGTATTTTGGCATCAGCCTCCCCCTGACCCTTTCGCTGATTATAAGGAAGGAGTCTGTGCCCTCAGGATAAACAGAAGAGGAAACCAGGCTGGAAGCATGAAGTTAGAAATAGTTCAGCCATCTTCCAACCTCAGACCCTCGGATACTCTTTGGATCCTCAGGGGTGGGTGGCGGTTTTAGCAGCAGTCACCCCTGACGTGAAGTTATTTGTGGGAAGAGACTGGAGGGTGATGGGCCCGCAGGGGGAAGGGAGGGCTGAGTCTCCAGTTCTCCAGGGTCTGGAGCACTGTGCCAAGATCAGCCTATGTCTGGTCCCAGTGATGAGCTTCTTCTTGGGACAAAATCTAAGAGACTCTCATGACCATTTCTTCATTTTCACAATAAGTAAAATAATTAAGTTCATTAACTTTGAAATGAAAACACAGATCAATTTATGTGAGAGTAGTTGGAATCTATGGGTTGAACACACGAGTTTGGGGAACAGTAAAAGGTGTGCGTATACTGAATCATATGCCAATAGAGGGATATGATGCTTGTGGCATCTTCTCTGGGTAGATAACACCTGAAGTTGACATTTATGCCCATGTTTGCACCTCCCATAGGCCAGGACTCCTTCTGAGAGTGAAACACTCCACAGTATCCTTGCACAACATTAGAAAATCGCAGCATCCTGGAACCAGACCATGGATGTGTAAACATCTTGTGAGCTGCAGAAACCAGATGGGCCCTCAGGGCTTTGGGCTTTGAGAAGTTGTGTGTCCTTCTACCAGCAGGGGACACTGTGGGACTGCAACCTAAAGGGGTGGGCCTTGGCTGGGCCTGGCCTGAGTTTCCCAAGGGGCCCAGAGAGAACACAGCTACTGGGCCCAGTGAGCACTGAGCAGAGACCAGGGGACAGCCTGGCATCCTAGCTGAGAGCCCACAGATGCCTCATACACTAACTGTACATAAAATCAAATCTACAAGTGCTTACAGCACATGCATTTCAGCCTTGAACTCATTGCCCAGGGCCCCCAGGAGCCCAGTTTTTCTCTTCCTACCTTATTCCTCCCTTGATGGACACGTAGGATGGAGCAGTGGGTGTTCGGGGGTGAATTAGCAGGCAGAGCAGTTGACTGGATTCACTGGAAGGTGAGGAGAAATCTGGGAAGTTAAGGGGGAGGCATTAGTTGGGGTAAAACAGGAGAATTTGTGCCCAGTAGGCAGTTAGACAGGCCTGAGGAGTGCAAGGCCTATGGGCCAGGTATGGAAGGTCACCAGGGCAGAAAGCCCTGGGTACCTAACAAGAGGCAAACTAAAATACAAGGAGCGCGCCCCAGGGTGACCTTTCCTCCCCTGGCATATCGCTGGCCATGCTGCTCAACCCCTGACTTCCTGTCACTGGTCCTGCAGTGCGGACCCTCCCCTGGCCTCTTCTCCCCTGGCTTGTTGCCAGTCATGAGGGTTAGACCCCCTTAGAGGGGGGAGAAATGAGGGGGCCAGAAAATAGCCCTTAGGCATTAGGTCCCCAGGACAATGAGGTTCTGACCCATGTCAAATACATCGAGGCCTCACTTGTGTTTCAGCTGCAGGCCCAGGAATGTTTCAGCTGCAGGCCCAGGAAAGCAGCAAAGCCAAACAAGCGATGCCATGGCTGACCTCAGGACCAGCTGTGTTGACTAATGGCCCCCTGCCCTGGCGCCCACCAATTAGTAGAGACCATCCTGAAAGGACATACCTGGAAAGCTGATGAATATTCTACTGGGATCCTGCCCTGGACCTCCAGATAAATACCCTCCAGACGGAGGACCAGTGTGGCTGTCTCTGTGGAGCACGCCCAAGCCTTTCCCAGCCGCCCTCCCCCAGGCCCATTTTCCTTGCCTCTCTCCTTCCCTAAGCTCCAAGGGCCCTTCTTTTGCCTCTGTAACTTGTTTCCTGAGCCTATTTCTTCTGTTGGTTTGGCACTGTCTAACCCAGGACCCTGGAATTAGGGACAGAAGGGGATAGAAAGAATTAGACAACCCACCTCTTATGCCCAGAAGCCAAAAGCAAAGGGCAGTGCCCATGTCCCCCACTGACACCCTCCACTTTCCCCTCATGAAATGGCTGTCCCGTGAGTGAGGAGGGTGTAGACCACAGGGATCTGGGTGATGATGGGGAAGCCCCAGAGCTCTGCTTGCTCAGGCCTAGTTGTTGGAACTGAGAGTATCCCATCTCCAAGTGTCTGATATCCTGTGTCCAAAGATTCGCACAGGCGTATTTCTTCATGCAGATGTGTTCCTGAGGTGTGGCCCATGTCTCTCTACCTGGGCCTCAGGCTAGAGCAACAGCTCTAGGCAGGGCAGATGAGACAATGCGAGGCAAGTGCCTGAGTGAGAGTGACTGCTCATGTGGCCCCAGTGACTCCTCGGGCTGTAGTTCCCACCGCAGGCCGGTTCCATAGGCCTTCCTATCTCCTGGCCCTCTCACGAGAACGTGGGCCTCCTGCTGCCCAGCCAGGGTCTCTGACTGGAATTCTTGAATTCCTGCTCTGCAGAGAGGAGCACAGTCTGAGTATGTGATTTCAGCAATAACTCAGTTAAGGCACTGAAGACCCTTGGATGTCCTACATCATCGGTCGTTAGAGAAATACCAGTGAAAGCTGCAGTGAGATATCATTTCACCCGCCTGGAAGGGCTGTAATAAATGTGAGACATTAGAATTGTTGGCAAAGACTTGAAGAAATCAGAGCCAGGTACATTGCTGGTAGAAATGCAAAACTATGCAGCCGTATTGGAAAACATCTACCAGTTCGTCAGCAACTGTCATGTGAAGGAATCATGTCTTAGTACCTCCTCTCTAAATGTCCACCCAAGACAAATGAAAACGTATCTACCAGAAACAAAACAAAACAAAACTTGCACACAGATGTACCTAGCAGCACTATGCACAGTAGCCCAACACGGAAAGCACCTCGAAGGCCCGCCAGCAGATGACGGGTGAAGAAACGTTGGTGTGTTCACACATTGGAGCATTATTTGGAAAACAACCAAGCACACAAGCACCTACTGACCCATGTCACAGTGTGGGTGGGACCTCAAGTCCATTATTCAAAAGGGCAAAGAGAAACGATAGCCACAAGGGACCCCCTGTCCTCTGGTTCCATCCATATGAAATATACATAATAGGAAATGTATAAACCCAGAAAGTGGCTCAGCAGGTACCTGGGCCTGACAGGTGTGCTGAGGCATGACTACTAAAGGGTGGGGACTTTCTCTGGGGGCTAATGAAAATGCTCTAAAATTGAAATATGGAATGGTTCCACCACTCTGTAAACATACTAAATATTGTGCACAGTAAGCCAGTGAAATTTAAGGCATGCAAATTATATCTCAAGAAAGATGATAAAAAATGGTATGAGAGGGCACAGCTGTCACTGACCATTGAAAGTGGACCTGTGCTCAGAAAGTAAGACCCTCAGAGTCGGACACCCCAGGGTCTGCCACAATCACCACTTTGGTCTGTCACAGGCATTTATGGGGTGATCACAGGAACAGGGGCAGGTTTTTGTCGCAGTTCCCCATGGGTCTGGAGCACTGTGTCATTGCTGATGCTACGGTCCCATGCTGAACAGTAATAATCAGCCTCGTCCTCAGGCTGGAGGCCTGTGATGGTCAGATAAGCCGTGTTGCCAGATCTGGAGCCAGAGAACCGCTCTGGGATCCCTGAGGGCCGAGAGCTCCCGAGCATCACAGTTTTGGGGGCAGCACCAGGAATCTGCTGGTACCAGCTTGCACCATAGCTCCCAACATTGTTGCTGTTTCCAACGCAGGAGAGGGTGACCTTCTGTCCCAGAGACCCCGACACTGAGGCTTCTTGCGTCAGCCCAGACTGGGCCCAGGACCCTAGAATAAAGGAGTAGAGACACAAAGAGGTGAAACTGGGGTTATTTCTCACAGCGTGTTTTCAGTAAAAGAAAAAATATATCTCTAGGTGTCCCCATGATCACTTCTCCTGCTTCCCTCAGTCAGTCAGTCACCTGAGCAGTGAGAAAGGAGGGCGAGGAGGAGGGGGGTCCAGGCCATGGCGGAGATGTCCCACGCTCTGCCTCTGAGCCTCATTGTGAGAGAACTGCACAAAGTCTCTCTTATCTTGTCCCCCCCTGGGAGGTCAGAGAGGAACCCTTCATGCAAATTGGTCCCTCCTCTGGTGTCCCTGGGGATAAATTTGGTGAACACTGAGTGTAGGGTGGGGCTGGGGGAGCCTCTCCTGGGGCCTTAGGAGTTGACACCTGCTGGTCCCCAGTGAGCACAGGGCAGAGGGCACAGAGCAGGGCTCCAGCTCTGGTTTCCCAGCTGAGGGAGATTCACCCACAGGCCCTCAGGGACAGGCCCACAGTGCCGCCTGCTGTTTCGGAGTCAAGATTCAGTTATGCCCGGGATGGGTATCCTGGAGCTGAGCAGGGAGGGACTGAGCCTCTGGAATTCAGCCTCGCCTCTCACATCACCCTCCCCACACAGGGCAGGGGTTTCTCATTTCCCGGGGACTCCTTATTGTACTGCAGGTGCCCCCACATCTGATTTCTTACTTTAAAGATGTGACCTCCTCAGCATGAGGTCATCCTCCCGGCCCTGTCACCGTTTAGACAATGATGTTATCGGGGCGTAGGTGAGGGAGCCCTCAGAATGAGTGCACCCTGTATTTAGTGAACAGAAGGCAGAGGCATCAGCACCCCTCCACACCCTCTATTTGGGGGCCGAAGGTGGCCAGCTCCTCTCTCTCATCACACTTCACTTCCCGCCATGTGGACCAGCATCCAGAGACCTCAGTCGTACCCATCTTCCCCTGTGAAGGGGCCCGGGGCCATTCATAACACTGCACATGGGAGTTCACCGAGAAGAGACCAGAATTCTTAGGAAGTAATGCTCTTCCCCCTGAGAGCATCCGCCTGAGGTGGCAAACAGCCCTCCCTCCCGGGATGCAGCCGGGCCCGCACAGCCATGGACATCTGACTCCGGTGAAGAATAGTGAGCTGATGTTTCCTGTGACTTATTGAGAGGGAGGCGTCAAGCCTCCACAGGAATACCGTATGCGCTTCTGAAGTGAATTAGCAAGAGGAGAGAGTGACTGGAGAAAAAAGTACACATACATTTATTAAATACATAAAATTCACATAATGCCTTTATTATCACAGGAATTGGTTAGAACATGAGTAGAATGGGTCTGACCCATACTAAGTTCTAGACAAGGGTCTGGTGAGTAAATAAATATACACGCTGTAGACAGTGAAAGAAGGGCTCAGACAGGGCACCTGGGACTTCAGTGTCATGCTACTGGACGCTCTCCTTGCAGCTTCAACCCTTCTTTCCCAGCCTTGATGCCACCATCCAAGCTGCACAGTAATTATCAGCCTCGTCCTGAGGCTGGAGCTGGTGATGGTCAGCTAGGTTGTGTTGCCCAGCTTGGAGCCAGAGAACTGCTCTGGGATCCCTGAGGGCCCAGAGCTTCCGAGCATCAGTTTTGGGCAGTGCCAGGGATCTGTTGGTACCAGCTGCACCGTAACCTCTAACATTCTTGCTGTTTCCAGTGCAGCAGAGCGTGACCGTCTGTCCTGATCATTTTATTTCCATTGCAGTGAGTTATTTACTGCCTCAATAAATGTGTCAGAAGCTTGGACGCAATGAGGCCTAGGTTTTTGTCACAGTTCCTCATCTGTCTCTGTCACTGTGCTTAGCACTACTTTCATACACTTGACAGTAATAATCAGCCTCGTCCTCAGGCTGCAGCCCAGAGATGAGCAAATACGCTGCATTGGTTGAGGTGTCTTTGGATCCAGAGACTCGACTAGGGACCCCAGGCCCCAGCTTATTGTCTGAGTCTGAGTAGTAGTACAAAAATAACCGGGGAGCGCTCCCTGGCTTCTGCTGGTACCAGTATATGTTTTTACTACCAACACTGAGGTCGCTGCTCAGGGTGCAGGGGAGTCTGGCTGTTGATCCGGGAGATGCAGAGAAGGAGGGCGGCTGAGTCAGCTCAGGCAGGGACAGGGAACCTGCAGAAACAGACACATCAGAGTAAATAGAAGGATCAGGGTGCAGGTGCTCTGGGTCCCTGAGGCCTGTCCCTACCTGTGCAGTGAGACAGGAGCACAAGGATCACAGGGGTCCAGGCCATGGTGCTCACAGCTGACCCTTAGTCCACAGAGCTGAGGCTGAGCTGCCCAGGCTCCTCTTATCCCCTCTCAGCTGGCTTCACAGAGGAGGGGTTGCTCATGCAAATACGCCCCATCCCCTGCAGTTTTCCCGAGTGCACTGACAGAGCCTGGGGCCCTTGCACAAGGAGGCCTGCCCGACACACTGGCTTCCCCATGGGTGGGGCTGGGAGGAAGCAGCTGCTGAGGCCACACACACAGGGTCACTCAGCCAGACCCAGAGAGAACACGCCTGCCCAGTTCTCACAAGAATCAAAGGGCCCAGCCCTGAGGCCTCCAGTCACTGCAGTGCTGCCCGGCTGGGAGCTCCTGTTCTGCAGAAACCCCCATAGATGGTCTCGCTGCGCCCCCTGCTGGTCCCTGGGTGAACTGCTTTTACCTCAAGCTGCTCCAAAATCTACTCTCACCTGTTTCCTTGGCTCCTGTGTTTCCAACACGTGACAGTCATCCCTACAGGGGAGGTTGCAGGCGCGGTCTTACTGTGACTGTCACTGACTCAGGCACACGTAAATCCTGACCCACGAGAGCCTGAGGACTGCTGTGAAGGTGAGGACACAACCTGGGGAACAGAGAGCAAAGTGGATCTGTCCCTGTGAGGGGCTGAGAAGGGGCTTGCTCTGGGTGCTGAGTGTGATCAGAAGCTCATAAGGGGCCACAGGCCTTCCCAGAGGAGCATATAGACAGTGAGGGATGCTTGCCCTCCAGAGCAGGGAGGAGACTGCACACCCGTCAGGGTCTGCACAGGGCATAAGGACTGCAGGGCCATCCGGAGACTTCGCCCTGGGTGCTGGGGTATTTTTAACCTGGCTGCGCCTGTCACCAGTGCTGCACATGAGAGATTTAGCTCTGCGGAAAGTTCTAGGACGAAACTTAAGACAGGGAGACCTTGCAAGAGGACATTCTGGGGCAGCTGGAGGAAAATGACAAGAGAAAACTGGGAAGAGGTGGAATGGCTCATGTCCCAAGTTAGGACACAGGGAGGTGATCGACTGAACCCCAGGCTGGGACAGTGGGAAAAATGGCCCAGAGTGTCAGGGATGGAGAGCAGCCCTGAGGGAGACAGGTTGTCCCAGTGACACAGGTAAGGTCAGGAGGATGGCAGGTCTGGGGCTGTGTATTGGGTTTGCGGTACATCTGTCACATGGAGACCGTGGTGTAAAAGTGGAGATGTGTTAGGAAACCTCAGAGGCGATCCATGCAGCAGCGCCTGGTTTCCCCCTGGCCTGAGGACNGGAGATGCAGAGAAGGAGGGCGGCTGAGTCAGCTCAGGCAGGGACAGGGAACCTGCAGAAACAGACACATCAGAGTAAATAGAAGGATCAGGGTGCAGGTGCTCTGGGTCCCTGAGGCCTGTCCCTACCTGTGCAGTGAGACAGGAGCACAAGGATCACAGGGGTCCAGGCCATGGTGCTCACAGCTGACCCTTAGTCCACAGAGCTGAGGCTGAGCTGCCCAGGCTCCTCTTATCCCCTCTCAGCTGGCTTCACAGAGGAGGGGTTGCTCATGCAAATACGCCCCATCCCCTGCAGTTTTCCCGAGTGCACTGACAGAGCCTGGGGCCCTTGCACAAGGAGGCCTGCCCGACACACTGGCTTCCCCATGGGTGGGGCTGGGAGGAAGCAGCTGCTGAGGCCACACACACAGGGTCACTCAGCCAGACCCAGAGAGAACACGCCTGCCCAGTTCTCACAAGAATCAAAGGGCCCAGCCCTGAGGCCTCCAGTCACTGCAGTGCTGCCCGGCTGGGAGCTCCTGTTCTGCAGAAACCCCCATAGATGGTCTCGCTGCGCCCCCTGCTGGTCCCTGGGTGAACTGCTTTTACCTCAAGCTGCTCCAAAATCTACTCTCACCTGTTTCCTTGGCTCCTGTGTTTCCAACACGTGACAGTCATCCCTACAGGGGAGGTTGCAGGCGCGGTCTTACTGTGACTGTCACTGACTCAGGCACACGTAAATCCTGACCCACGAGAGCCTGAGGACTGCTGTGAAGGTGAGGACACAACCTGGGGAACAGAGAGCAAAGTGGATCTGTCCCTGTGAGGGGCTGAGAAGGGGCTTGCTCTGGGTGCTGAGTGTGATCAGAAGCTCATAAGGGGCCACAGGCCTTCCCAGAGGAGCATATAGACAGTGAGGGATGCTTGCCCTCCAGAGCAGGGAGGAGACTGCACACCCGTCAGGGTCTGCACAGGGCATAAGGACTGTAGGGCCATCCGGAGTCTTCGCCCTGGGTGCTGGGGTATTTTTAACCTGGCTGCGCCTGTCACCAGTGCTGCACATGAGAGATTTAGCTCTGCAGAAAGTTCTAGGACGAAACTTAAGACAGAGAGACCTTGCAAGAGGACATTCTGGGGCAGCTGGAGGAAAATGACAAGAGAAAACTGGGAAGGGGTGGAATGGCTCATGTCCCAAGTTAGGACACAGGGAGGTGATCGACTGAACCCCAGGCTGGGACAGTGGGAAAAATGGCCCAGAGTGTCAGGGATGGAGAGCAGCCCTGAGGGAGACAGGTTGTCCCAGTGACACAGGTAAGGTCAGGAGGATGGCAGGTCTGGGGCTGTGTATTGGGTTTGCGGTACATCTGTCACATGGAGACCGTGGTGTAAAAGTGGAGATGTGTTAGGAAACCTCAGAGGCGATCCATGCAGCAGCGCCTGGTTTCCCCCTGGCCTGAGGACTTCCTAGTGTCTCCCAGATGAGTCAACTGGTAAGACAGTGGGTGTCTTACAGAGCCTTCCTTCCAAGCATGTGGCTAGGGCCAGGGGGACAACGTGGATGCGGGGACCCATCATGGATGCAGGGACGGATTAGAGGTGGAGGCAGAGAGGAGGGCACAGCCCCTGTCCTGAGGGTGGAATACAGCAGCATGGCTGTGGTGGTGGCCCTGGAAGTGCGCCACTTAGATCTCCCCCGAGACCCTGCAGGGGAAGCAGAGGTGACCTGCAGTCCCACAGCCTAGGGGCTGCTCCAGCCAAAGAGTGGCACAGCAGGTGCCTAGGGCCCAGCCTCTCCTGCTACACGCAGTGCCCTCTAATGGGCACCTCGGGTGCAGTAGACTTTCCCAGGCCTGTGCCGTGGTCTGGGGCTCTTCCTACCGCATCTTTTCTTCACTCCCCTCTCATGGGAGCAGCCCTGAAGGCTCTATGATGGCTCCCCTCCTTCTCCAGCTCCTTCTGGTCAGCCTTAACCAGGGGTCCCTCCTCTAAAATCACTTCTTTAATCTTGTTTTCATCAACCTGGCAGAGGAGCAAACTCTAGACCTTCCAGATTAGAGAGAAAATTCAAAAGAAAATCATGGCTTGACTTGTTAATTAATATAGTAAATCAATTTTAAAAGTTTATACTTTAAAAAAGTATATGTATGTATATATGTACTTTTGCAAAAGTATATATACACATATACTTATATATTATGTGTATATATACACACATATTATGGATATAGACAAATGAATATACACATTCACACGCGCTCGCTGACCTATATATTATATAGTCCAGGCTCAGGGCTGAGGTGGTGTCTCCTACACAAGCTCCTCTTAGATTAGATTCAAGTCCAGAGGAGTGACTGTCCCATGGAGGCATGTCCCCTCTGTGCAGGACACCTGGCTCTTTCCTTGTATGTAGTTCTTCCCTGGTGGCCAGAGCTGTCTTCCTAGTGGATCCCCGGCAACCCTAGGGATTGAGAGGTTGTTGAAAGGAAGNGGTGGCCAGAGCTGTCTTCCTAGTGGATCCCCGGCAACCCTAGGGATTGAAAGGTTGTTGAAACCCCTGTATAAATTCCTGGGGGGTGCTGTGCTAACCTTTGTTGTCTGTCAAAACTCCCACACACTTGAACACGACCGTCATTCACATGTTTTTTTACAGTGACTCACTCCTAGGAATCTTTTTTCAAGCACAGAAAACAGGTTTGCTGGGGGCCTTGAAAAATGGTGTTCTAATTTAGACCTGCTCTGAGCTGTGCCTGTTCCCAGGGGAGCCTGATGTGGTAGATATTTCGATCAGCTCTTACAATCAAGAGTTTGAATAAATATGGTTCGTGCTCAAGAATGAGTGCTGTTGGGGGGCTGTTTAAAAATCAGAGGAATTTATATGCTCTTATCTGAAAATATGTTCAATATATATCATGATTTTTTTCGGAAAGAACAACTACAGCCAAAAAACATACCAAAAAAACCCACATCATTGAATTCATTTACTAATCTAAAGATGAGAAAATAAAATAAGCCGATCATTTTATGACTAGGAAAGATCTGGAATGGTATGAGGCAGACTCTTGATTGATTTCAGTTTGGGGAGTGGTTTGGGGTGGAACGGACCACCTGACAGTTTGTCAAGCTCTGTGTGTGAGTGTGTTAGTTACTACGTGGCTGAGTTATTTTGATATTTTAAATGCCCCACAATGTTTAAATGGATTAGGGGAAATCAAAATTCACTGTGTAAAATTAGCCCATGTTTTGGACAGAATGAATACCTATGTTTTGTTTTAATTTTGCATTTACAGGGGACCACTTTTGAATGTAATTTTCTGTGTGAGCCTGGTTCTTTTGTTAAGACATTTTAAATTAAATTGTACAACAAGCATCGCTTGAAATTTTATTCGTTATCTTGGTTATTAAATGCCGGCCAAGGTGAACGTAGACTAGGATATCTATGCATTTGTCAGTTTGTCCGCATGGCTGTGAGTGTGACTTCTTTTGCCACCCTGTCTATTACCTGTGTGACTGCTCATTATATTTTTTCTTGCTTCTAAGATCACATCGTTTTCATAAGATAGTGTGTTAAAAATAAATTATTTTGGATCTTACAACAATGGATGTAACCGCCTCTGGGGCCACAGACCACAGTGTCCCTGAGCCCACACTAGCTGGACACAGCCTCTGGGAACAAGTAGACAGGTGATACTAGGAGCAGAAGCTGCACTGAGTCTGGGGTTTTTTGTTTTGTTTTTTAAATATATCTTTATTGACTTCAGAGAGAGGAAGGGAGAGGGGGAGAGAGAGAGAGAAACATCAATGATGAGAGAGTCATTAATCAGCTGCCTTCTGCACACACCCCCCACCGGGGATCGAACCCACAACCCATGCATGTGCCCTGACTGGGAACTGAACCTCGATCTCCTGGATCCTATGTTGACGATCAACCGCTGAGCCACGCCCGGCTGGGCGAGCCGGGGGATTTTGTCTCCCTTCGCCACCTGCATCTGTCACTGTGGAAATGGTTGCTGAACCACAGAGCACAGTAGTACTCAGCCTCGTCCTCGGGCTGGGCCCCCGTGATGGTGAGGACGGCCTTGTTTCCAAGCAGGGAGCCAGAGAATCGGCCAGGAACCCCTGGTAACCGGTTGCTGGTATCACCTATTAAACCCTGGAGTACCTGGTTGGGCTTCTGTTGGACCCAGCCGGCATAGTTAGTAGTGGTGACGGCCCCGGCACTGGAGCCGCAGGTGAGTGTGACCGTCCCCCCAGGAGTTGTGGACAGTGAGGCTTCCTGAGTCACCGAAGCCTGGGAAGTGGCCCCTGAAAACAGATGAGAGACCAAAGGTGAGGAAGGAGGACAGGGGTCATGAAGGTGCAGTGTGGCCTCTCTCACTCCTCCCCGCCCTCCAGCCCAGAGAGCCTCCCCGACCTATGCAGTGAGCCAGCAGTGTGAGCAGGAGAGAAGCCCAGGCCATGGTGTAGGCGCCCCAGTGCTGTGCTTCTCAAGACCCCTCAGCACAGAGTCAGCCTGCAGCCCTCTCATTATAGCTCCTGCCACCTGTGGGGGCGGGGCTGCCATGCAAATGAGCTCCCCTCCCAGGGGACCTCAGCAGCCTGGTCATGTTACAGCTCCTGAGCTGTTCCGTGTTAGTGGGACCCAGCCCCACGTGGGGCATTTCACAGCCCAGCCTGGTGTGCCAGGGCTCACTCACAGTGCCCTCTTGTGTCCATCGTGTTACCATCACCAATGGAAGAACGCATTCCTGCATCTTTCCCCTTTGACTATCTATTGTCATAGCCGTTTTTACAAAGGGGAAAAACATATACATATGTATTCCATAGACATACGAAAGGTGAACACTTTTCCGATGTACCAACAAGGTTATGCTCAAATGTTTTCCCGTAGTCATTTGTTACTGGGATCCACACAGTGGCCCAAGTGTCAGAGCAGATCTTCATTTTCAGAGAACTGGTCCCAGTTCGAATGTATCTATACTACCTGTGTTATTTAATTTAATTTTCTTTGAGTGAGTGAAGGTAGAGTGAACTATGGAAGCATTCGGAACGGCCGCCACTTCTTCAAGCCTGTGGGGCATCAGACAAAGCGCTATGTCTGTGTGGCCCGATCCCTCCTCTTCGTGGCAGTCTCCCACGGGAAAGTATTTTTAAAGCGGAACAGCTGAGACCAATTCTCCACATGGTCATGTTCAGAACAGTCCCTCTGACACGTGAAATATCCCTGCTCAGGCTTTACCTCCTATGGGAGCAATGGACACAAAAATCATCACAAATGCTTAGAGCTTCCTTTTAAAAGGAAATCAACACTTTGAAAGATTATGTTTCAAAATCCTACTGGGTACTGGTTGCTGTTTTTTTAGTGTTTTGTTTTTGTCTTTGTTTTAGTAATCTTGCTTTTCTCTTTCTACAAAATTCTTTACCAACTGCATCTTATATTTATTTATTATTCCATTTGGCTTTTCAATGTAAAACCTGCAAATTACTCACTTAATTCTTCCAATACTTCAACTTCACAAAAGCTTTAGAAAAAATTTCACGGAGGCCTAGAAAGCAAGTGATATATGTTTTTTGTTTTTTTTTTTTCAACTAAATCAGTATAACTGACTGCAGTATCTACTTTCATGTTACATTTGGCAAAAACAAAAAGCACCCCCAGGAACCCCAAACATACAAATCTCAAGAAAGGAGTGATGACAGACTTTATCACACAATGTGAGATTCAAAACCTGTTTCCTCGCCAGGCCAGCATGGCTCAGTTGTTGAGCATTGACCTAGGATCCAGGAGATCACGGTTTGATTCCCGGGGTACATGCCCGGGTTGTGGGTTCGATCCCCGGTGGTGGGGGTGTGCAGGAGGCAGCCTATCAATGACTCTCANACGGTTTGATTCCCGGGGTACATGCCCGGGTTGTGGGTTCGATCCCCGGTAGTGGGGGTGTGCAGGAGGCAGCCCATCAATGACTCTCTCTCATCATTGATGTTTCTCTCTCCCTCCCTCTCCCTTCCTCTCTGAAATCAATGAGAATATATTTAAAAAAACAAGGACCAAAAAAACTGAAACCTGTTCCCTCAAAGATTGCTGCTGTCAATTGGAGCCTGCAAGCAAATTTGTTACAATAGTGATAGAAATTAAAACATTACAGGAATCTGGACAGTGTCCTATTTAACACTAGCTCAAAAACTCAGAGGAAGGAAAAGAGCACAATGAGACACCACATACATAAACATGAATGGTTAGCTTGCGTAATCCCATAATTAGACAAGATAAAAATAAATTCGTAAAAACAGATTTTCAGTATAGCGCCCCCCCCCCAGGCCGAAAGCATAGCTATAAACCCCATCTGAGACAGCCGGTTTACTGAGCTATCACATTTTTGCTGGAAAACAACCTTTTCATTGTTGAACTTATACAGGCGAGCAACTGTGGAGAAGCAGGCCCAGGCCCACTCAAAGAGGGTTGGAACACGGTTGTGCCTGTGGTACTTTCAATGCTGCTTCCCCCCAAATACTTGAAGGTTTAAACAGACTGCCTGTAATTCAGACTCAGATGGGCCCAATAAGTCACCTGATGTGCTGCTGAATGGCTGCGAGTCTATCAGGCGGCTTATTTCATTTCCAAGGCCTTTCGTGTCTTCTCTGCACTTGCTTATTTTTGCTGTGCTGGTCTGAAGACAGACTTCCTAAAGATTGTATTCTTCAGTGCTGGGGCAACGCGTTCAATGCATTGCTGCCCTGCCGTGAGTGTGCTTAAGGGCTCTCCATCCTTATCCTGTCTAGTAAACGTATGAAAATCACTCGTCATGTTGAGGGCTACATGACACATACCTGAGGCCGTGTTGACGAGCAGATGTTTTACGTCAAGGACAGCAGCTCCAATGGGGTCCTGCTTTTTTGAGTTTATAATAGTTGACATTCACCTGGCAGGATCCACCTGATGCTGCTGTTGTTGAGCTACATTGGTGGATTAAATGAAGGTGTGTTGGTAGCTAATTTCACTGCATTATTGAGTGTGGTCTGGTCTTATGATTACGTGTGTGTGTGTCTGTTTAAATTGTTTCCTTGAAGGGAATGAGAAAAGCAAAAGATGTTCTCAGACGCTTCCCCTTGGCCTACCCGCCCAGTTCATGAGTCCAATGAGCTAGACTGGTCTCTGTAACTGACAGTTATGACAGCGTGTCCCCTGGGCTGTATGGACACAGCAGACCTATGTGAACTCTGCCTCAACTCTCCCTGGCACGCATCTACTGTGGTTGCTCATTTTTACCATGGGTTGAGTTTTTATAATTCAGCTTCTCAGGCATCATCCCATTGCATGTGTTTTATTTGGTCTGAAGTGAGGCACAGATATTGGAGAATTTAAAAGATCCCCAGGATGGCAGTCCACTGGACGACACACTGCTTTGAGTTCTGTGTTTTACATCCTCTGAAGTTTGAACAAGGGCCTTTGCCCTTGAGAAACACCATCAGATCAAATCAGTGAAACCATCTCCTGATGGGTCCACTCTCAGACATCATATTACAAGTGTGGTTTTGACTCAGACTTACTGAAGATCCCTGTATAATGACTGAGGCTATAGTGTTTCTTCACAAAACGTAGCCTAGAGCACACTTCCAAAGAGGGAGGCATTTGCACTGTCTTTCTTGGGGCCTAAGTGTGGCCTTGACATTTACAGAGATGGGAGAAGGTAAGTTCAGACAGCTGCCTGTAGGAATTCTGAAGGGGACCAAATTATAATTTCTTGATCGGCTCTTAGGTATGCACCTGTCCCTGTGATTGATCTTTAGTTATGGAGAAAAAGTCCTGCAAATGATGCATGGGGGGAGGGGAGAGCAGGGGGGCGTCTGTGTGCACAGGAGGCCTCTGCGCCTGGAATTCTTCATGAACAGGTCACAGCCCTATGGGTAGCAAGGGTGATTTAATGTCCTTCCTCATGGGTTTAAAACTGCATATACATTGCCATGTACACCAGGGATCACCCCAAAGCCCAGGCCCTGAGCACCTGAGATCAAGTCTCCCAGGGTTCCAGAAACAGGAGTTTAAAGCATTTACCTTCTCACCTTTCTCTCCCCCTCTGTCCCTCTTTCTCCCTCTCCATCTCCCTTCCTTCTTTTGTTCTTAAACTAGAATGTGATTTTGAGTCTCTTTCTAGAATCTGAATCCTTAGTTGAGAAGTGAAGTAAGTTATCATCTAATGATGGCCATTCAGATGAGCTTCGGTGAGACCAATATTGACTGTTTCCATCTGCAAAGGAGCAGGCCCTGGCCCGCTATGTAATGACTCTCTGCAGGACCGGCATTGGGTGCCAGGATTGCTTTATTTGTTCTTTATTTTTTAACATTTTAAAAAGATCGAAATAATCCATTTACCTTATAGAAGCCTATCACCTACTTCTCAGGGACCTCATGGCAGGAATCGATATATGTCAGGGTCTCCCCTTGAGAAGAAGACACCATCCAACCCTTATAATGCTTCAGAACAGCAGCCTCCCTCTGTTACCCATGAGAGATTATTTATAGCAAGTTAGAAAAAGTTTTTGTTCCACTCCCCATTGATCTCAACCACTGTGCTTTACCCAAATGGCACTCCACTGTAATGATGCGCTCCACAGATATACTCCGCCTCGTCCTCAGGCTGGAGGTTGGAGATGGTTAAGTAGCGGTCAGCCCCAGAGCTGGAGCCCGAGAAGCGGTCGGGGATCCCGGCCCCCTTGCTGTGGCTTCCATCACTCTTAAGCTCCATCACATACTGAGGGACCTTCCTGGGCTGCTGCCGATACCATGTAATAATGAAGGTGCTGTGCTCACTGCTGAGGGTGCAGGTGAGTCTGGCTGTGGATCCAGNCCAACACTGAAGCCACTGCTGAGGGTGCAGGTGAGTCTGGCTGTGGATCCAAGAGATGCAGAGACGGAGGGCGGCTGAGTCAGCACAGGCTGGGACAGGGAACCTGCAGAGACAGACACTTGTCAGTGCTGGGCAGGGACCTGGGACGTTTCTCAGGAGATTGATCATGAAGGGAACAAACTTGGGAACTGAGGCCTGGTTGGAGGCCTGTCCCTACCTGTGCAGTGGGAGAGGAGCACGAGGAGGAGAGGAGTCCAGGCCATGGTGCCCACAGCCCCTGAGCCCACAGTGGGGCTGGGCTCTCCAGGCCCCCTTTTCTTCCCCACCCTCTGCCACAGGAGGGGCTTCCATGCAAATGTGAGTCCCTCCCCTGAGTGCCCAGCCCCTCCCTGGGCCCTGGGGCTACAGCTCAGTTTACACATTAGACTCAGTAGGACTGAGGTTGGCGGCACCCCTTGGGGGAGCCCTGGGAGGAAGCACCTGCTGAGACAACACATCAGTGAGCACAGGGCACAGCCTCCAGGCCCAGGCCCCTAGGAGTGAATGTTCCTCCATGAACCACTGCACAGGGACCACAGGGCAGTCCCACAGCGCCCCCTGCTGGTCACAGACCACACACCTCCCCACCGCCCACAGCCCTGAGCGCCCAGCTGGATTTTGCAGCTGAGCAGGTGACTGTCTCTGTTCACACATCATGGGCTGGTTCCCAGATACTGTGATTCTGATACACTGTAGTGGTCGCTGTACTATCTCAGTCCGAGGAGGAGTCCTCATCTGTGGGAGGTGCAAAAATGTAGATAAATGACAAACTAATTTGGTTTCCCCTCCAGTGAAGATGTTGCAAAATAAATGCACAGTGACCTTCCTGTCCAATGTCACAGATGAAGGGACCGTTTATCTGGTTTAAAGCGGTGGCAAGGACTGTCAGGGAATTTTCCAGGAATACACCTGGAGGCATGTTCAGAGGAGGACTATTGGGCAAACACTTCTAGTCATGAGATGCGGGTACAGTTTCCATGGAGATCTGATGTGATTAAGTGATTGGTAAAAACAATGGCTTTTGTAGGCTTCACATTTGCCAGTGAAACATGTACGTGGGAACTCATTCTAGGAACTGACTTTTTATCTTACTTCGTGGAGTTCTGTGTATCTGTGTCCTGTGTTTCATGTACAGATTTATGTGTCCTAAGATGTGTTTATCTACTGAACAAAACTTTCCCTACCTGTATTTTCTCACGCATTGTCCTATTTTGGTAGCAAGATAAATGTGAGACTGCGATGTGTTTGCCCATGTCCCGAATGTCTGGGCAGTTGAATGCAGAACCCATCACTGTGTCCTCACTGCGCCCGAATCCAACTCTGCTTTAACTGTGCAAATGGTCCAAGGATCCCCACATTTCTAGACTCACTGGGCCACTTAGTAAATGGCTTGGACCAGGATCACTTCCTTTGGGCCCTCTCTCCTCAAGGCGCTCAAGGGATCTTTGTCATTCAGCTCAGGCAGGTCGCCTTCTGCTTTAAACACTCAGGACTCCTCCCTGCTGTTTGCACAAAACCCCAAATCCTCGGCGCCCCTCAGGAAGCCTCATGGTCTGGCCCAGCCCCCTGCGCCCTCCCCATGTAGCACCTCCCCTTGTTCTCAGGGTCCAGCTTCGTTCCCTTTCCTGCTGCTTCAAAACCCTGACTCCTGTCCTTCATGGGGTCCCAGACACCTCTGGCTCTGTTCTTTGGGAGTAAATAGGATTAAACCTGACATCCCGGGGTCTGTNAGACACCTCCTGCTCTGTCTTTTGGAAGTAAATAGGATAAAACCTGAAATCCCAGGGACGGTGGCATTTTGGCACCCCTGAGAGGCTCTTAGTAGCAGGGCATGCACACAGCATCCCCGACGGAAACAGAGAATTAGATATGACACTGCTGGAGCGACACAGCCCACAGAGACCAGCTCAGAGTGTCACCTGCTCCCTGTACACCACCTCAGCCACCATCAATAGGCTTCCCCCTGATGAACCTCCCACCCTCCGTTCCCTCGTCCTGGTCCCTCACTGACTGAAAACACACGCACACACCATGTCCTTCACCANGTCCCTCACCGGTGGGTTTCAGCATAAACACGCATTGAAAGTCCCCAAAGTCCTGCAAGAGACAAGCATGTGCTTGAACTAGCCTGTCACACATGTACGCGTGTGGTCATGTCAGAATGGTCGTCTACCTCACTGTTGTGCCGACTGAAAGACTGGGAGAGGAACAAGGGTTCCTATGTTTGGAGCCATGAAGCCCATGGGTGACATGTGTGAGTGGAAGGAAGAGCAGAGCAGCGCCCACGGCCTCAGACAGTCAGTGGGAGAGAGCTGAGATGTGACTCAGAAATGTTCGTTCCTGGTAAAATTTACAGCAGACAGTGGGGTGGTCGGGTGGCCTTGATGGCCCCTCAGCGTGTGTTCCTGGGACGCCTGTGCTGTTGCTCATTGTGTGTGACTCTCCCCCCTTTCAGGGACACATCTCATTGCAAAGTGATCCAGCTGGCAGATGCCTCCACAGAAGCTTCTCCCTGAATCCAGGCTCAGAGCCAGAATCTCTGGGCCCAGGGTTTTTGTCTCAGTTCCTCGTCTTCTGAGTCACTGTGAGTAACTAAAGCTGCTCCCACTGCCATGCTCTGTAGCACAGTAATAGTCAGCATCGTCCNGCCTGTCCCTACCTGTGCAGTGGGAGAGGAGCACGAGGAGGAGAGGAGTCCAGGCCATGGTGCCCACAGCCCCTGAGCCCACAGTGGGGCTGGGCTCCCCAGGCCTCCTTTTCTTCCCCACCCTCTGCCACAGGAGGGGCTTCCATGCAAATGTGAGTCCCTCCCCTGAGTGCCAGCCCCTCCCTGCACCCTGGGGCTGCAGCTCAGCTCACACCCCAGAGTGAGAAGGTTGGAGCTTCATNAGCTCACACCCCAGAGTGAGAAGGTTGCAGGTTCATTTCACCCCTTGGGGAGCCCTGGGAGGAAGCACCTGCTGAGACAACACATCAGTGAGCACAGGGCACAGCCTCCAGGCCCAGGCCCCTAGGAGTGAATGTTCCTCCAGGAGCTGCTCAGCAGGGACCACAGGGCAGTCTCACAGCGCCCCCTGCTGGTCACAGAGCACACACCTCCCCACCGCCCACAGCCCTGAGTGCCCAGCTGGATTTTGCAGCTGAGCAGGTGACTACACATCATGGGCTGGTTCCCAGATACTGTGATTCTGATACACTGTGTGGTCGCTTTACTATCTCAGTCCCAGCAGGAGTCCTCATCTGTGGGAGGTGCAATAATATACATAAATGACAAATTAACTGGGTTTCCCCTACAGTGAAGATGTTACCAAAGTAAAAACACAGTGACCTTCCTGTCCAGTGTCACAGATGAAGGGACCATTTATCTGGTTTTAGGGCTGGCAAGGACTGTCAGGGAATTTTCCAGGAATACATTCGAAGGCATGTTCAGAGGAGGACTATGAGATGCAGGTACAGTTTCCATGCAGATCTGATGTGATTAAGTGATTGGTGAAAACAATGGCTTTTGTAGCCTTCACATTTGACAGTGGAATGTGTAGCATGGGAACTCCTTCTAGGAGTTGACCTTTTATCTTAGTGTGTGGAGTTTTTCATATCTGTGTCCTGTGTTTCTTGTTCAGATTTTCTTAGGTTTCCTAATATTTTTTTATATTTGAAATAAAACTTTCCCTACCTGTATTTTCTCACGCATTGTCCTATTTTGGTAGCAAGATAAATGTGAGACTGGGATGCGTTTGCCCATGTCCGGAAGGTCTGGGCAGTTGAATGCAGAACCCATCACTGTGTGTCCTCACTGTGCCCGAATCCAACTCTGCTTTAACTGTGCAAATGGTCCAATGGTCCCCACATTTCTAGAATCACTGGGCCACTTAGTAAATGGCTTGGACCAGGATCACTTCCTTTGGTCCCTCTCTCCTCAAGAGNTCCTCACTGTGCCCGAATCCAACTCTGCTTTAACTGTGCAAATGGTCCAATGGTCCCCACATTTCTAGACTCACTGGGCCACTTAGTAAATGGCTTGGACCAGGATCAGTTCCANGTCCCTCTCTCCTCAAGAGGCTCAAGGGATCTTTGTCATTCAGCTCAGGCAGGTCACCTGCTTTAAACCCTCGGGACTCCTCCCTGCAGTTTGCACAAAACCTCAAATCCTTGGCTCCTCTCAGGAGGCCTCATGGTCTGGCCAGCCCCCTGTGCCCTCCCCATGCAGCACCTCCCCTTGTTCTCAGGCTCCAGCTTCGCTCCCTTTCCTGCTNCCATGCAGCACCTCCCCTTGTTCTCAGGCTCCAGCTTCGTTCCCTTTCCTGCTGCTTCAAAACCCCGACTCCTGTCCTTCATGGGGTCCCAGACACCTCCTGCTCTGTCCTTTGGGAGTAAATCTGATAAAACTTGAAATCCCACGGACGGTGGCATTTTGGCACCCCTGAGAGGCTCTTGGTAGCAGGGCATGCACACAGCATCCCAGACGGAAACAGAGANTTAGATATGACACTGCTGGAGCGACACAGCCCACAGAGACCAGCTCAGAGTGTCACCTGCTCCCTGTACACCACCTCAGCCACCATCAATAGGCTTCCCCCTGATTAACCTCCCACCCTCCGAACCCTCCTCCTGGTCCCTCACTGACTGAAAACACCCGCACACACCATGTCCCTCACCGGTGGGTTTCAGCGTAAATGCGCATTTATATCCAAAAACTCTTAACACGAGACAGCAATGGATTTCGTCTACTGTCACATATCTGTATGTGTTGTCGTCTCCGGAATGGTCAGCTAATTGATTGTTGAACCGATTGAAAGAGAGGAGAAACAAGTCACCCCGTGTTTGGAGCCATGAGGCCCATGGGTGACACGTCTGAGCGGAAGGAAGCGCAGAGCAGCGCCCACGGCCTCAGGCAGGCGTGTCGCGGTGCAGGATCCCGTCTTCGTTCACACGGAGGTTCCCAACCCGCAGCTCTTCCTTCATGAGCTTTCCCACCAGGGTTCTTTTGGGACTTTGGGTTGAAGACTTGCCTATTAAACTTTATTGATCGNTGTGGCAGTTGCTGAGCTTACAGGCTCCTAGTTCAGTGCAATGTGAGCAGACATGGCAACGGCTCCCCCGCACTCGGCAGCTCATTAGCCCCTGGAGGCCGCCTGTCCCTGTCCTCAGAGTTTGCTCCTCTGACCTGTTGCTCCTGTCTCTTCTCTCAGACCCAAGGAAAATGCAGCCTCCAAGCGTGCGAGGC